TTAAATCTTAGTTTCAAAAATGGCACAATAGCAGAGAACCTGCCTAACAAGGAGATGCTTGGTATTCAATTGGGGTAGTAAACAGATTTTTATTTCTTACTTTTTTTGCTATTTTTTTTGTTACAATTTTTAAATAACTCAACATTTAAATTAAAGTATCTTTTTCATTTTTTAATGTAGATTCATCATTTTACAAGCAGTATTAATTTAAATATAAATTATTTTATGTTTTTTTTTTTTTTTCAGTTACTAGATATTACCTAACTTTTTTCAATAAATGAATGATGGTTAAAATAAGGATAGTTATTAGCAGTGGTTATAATAATTAAAAAGTTGGATATTTTTGCGTTTCCTTTTAAATGTACTTAAATGGTCTCATATAACCTACATGTAAAATTTTAACAATCCCTGCCGAGCACATTAGTCTAGAAGTTACAAACCCGAATGAAGTTTTTTTATACCCAAACATCTTTTGTGAATCTATATTAATGAAAACATATGAATGTACTATTAAAGAAATGTTTTACCATTTTATCCTCCTCACTTACCAGAAAGAGAAACTAAACAAACAGTAAAAAGAAATACAAATAGTAGGAACTAGTTTTATACAGACTTAACCTATTAATCTGTGATTAATCATTGGACTGAATTGAAAACATGTATATTTTCTTTTATTTCATACAAATTGGCATAATTTATGAAAAGTATTTCAGTTAAAAAAAATAATTATTGCCAGCTAAAAGTGGGCTCTCCACAAATACTAAAAGAAAATAAAAATATTTTTAATTCTAAATAGATAAAACTTCTTTAAAAAAAAAACACGCTAAAAAGCAGCAGAAATTTCAAAAAAAGTAGTAATAAATGTAATAATAATGGTGGTAATAATTTACTACAGTCAAGCTTTCTCCGGTACTTATATCATCGAGGAGTCGTAAGAAATCTGTTATAAATATGCACAGTATTGGTGTCAATAATATTATGGCGACTTTTTACGGTATCTCATAACGAATAAGTCCATTTTCTCCATCAACTTAGCTCCTTAGTACTTACTTATTTTTTATTTCAATTAGTACTTATTGCCAAAAATAATTAATCATCATTGACATCAATATTAGTTTATCGATTTTCAATGTGCCCTTAAACGAATTAGAACCATTTTTCGATTAGTTTTATTCGATTATATCTTTTTACTTCAAATTGTAACTATTACCAAAATTAATTATCATTGACGTCAATATTATCGGTGCTTTATCTATTTCTGTTCTATGAATTAGTACTATTTTTTCCTTAATTTTGCTTTTCGGTAAAATTTTTTTTTTTAATTTCAATTACCATTGATTTTGAATTATTATTTTTTTTAATAAGAGTTATAGTTAGTTTTAACCCGTTTTAAAAGCATAGCTATTAACAAAATAAACATGTGGTTTCAGATTACTAGATATTATTTTTAATCACCAGATAGAGAAAAAAAAATCTAGTGGTTTAAATATGCTGCATTTTTTTAAAATTGAGCTGAAGGTTGCAAATATGCTGTGGCATATGAACAAAGCTTATCTTATTTGGAGGATGGAGATCTAAAGGATCGGCTTCATTTTTATTGGCAGCAATGATACTTATTTAATTGTGGTAATATGTACTACTGGTGCACTGGTCGGAAGTAATACTCTAAAAAAACTTTTATAGTCTCTACTTTTTTTTGGTCTGTAGTGTAGTTAGCTACTTTCTTTAACAAATGGTGTAGTTAGCAATGTGATACAAAAAAATAATAATTTAATGTTAGTTTAGTACCTGTGTGGTGACTGGGTTTGAAAGAATAGTCCCACTGTAGCTCATGCATGTAGTAAGAGCATCCTGCTTCTGGGGATTATATCAGGAGACTGACCCTCCAGGTTGGGCGTAGGGCTAACAACCCTACTCTGTAAAAAACCATTGTTGTGAAATCTCAAGAAGAAATAAGCCACGGACTGACTACAAGGAGACGATTTGGTAAAGGCTTTAAGGACTTGAAAATTGGATCATGAAGACCAGATGACTAGAAAAAGACCTTTTGATCTTAAAAACTCAAAACTGGAAAACACTAGCAGGAAAAAGGTTAGCCTGGGAAAAACTTCTTGAGAAGGCCAAGGCTCATATTCTTGAATGCTAAGAAAACCTAAAGACGTTATCTACATGGTTGCCCAGGCATGGCAATTAGTGAATCCAGCTACAATTCGTAAATCATTCAACAAAATAATTGTTGAGAAGAGAAGAGACAGGGTGAATCCCAGCAGACGGAAAACACATCGACAGACGGGGGAACTTCTTGAGATCATCAATGGAATTGAAGGTTGTGAATAAGTTTTGGAAGAGAACATTTGCAAGTGGCTGGACGTTGAAAATCAACATCCAAATTTTGAAATTCTCAACGACGAAGAAATCATACAAGCAGTTAATCCTTCATCGGACATTAATGACGCTGAAAATGAAGACGAGAACTTTGAGGTTTCTACGACTATAAGTCATACTGAAGGTGTTTAAGCACTGACAACTGCCCTAAAATATTTGGAGCAAAGAAACGATGCTACACCGATGGATCTCCTGTTGCTCAAAAATTGGCACGATAGGGCAGCCCATGATAGAAATTCTAGACTTTTGCAACAAAAGGTAACAGACTTTTTTAAAAGAATGTAAATTTAACAAATGAATGTATATTAAATTTTAAAAATACAATATTTTCTTGAGATTTGAGTTATTTTTGAAAATGCGTCTTTCAATATTTAAATAAGTATAGTTAAAAAAAATTCCATTTTACTTTTTTAAATTTACTACTAGAGTTGATTTCCTTTTTAAATGTTTTTAGCTGTGAAACATAAGTTAATATATGTTTATTTTCATCATTTAAAAAACGTTCTATTGTTTTTTACCTTAAAAGTAGTTAAATTTGCAAGCACGGAAGGTTTTTATACATGATTTCCATTAACCGAGGTTTCCAATATCTGAGGTACTAGCGGTCCCAATTAGCTCGGATAATCGAGGTCTTACTGTATCTACTATTTATTTTATAAATCTTAACCATGAAAGAAATCTGCATCTAAAGCAAGAATAGAGCAAAACATTATCCAGTGTTATATTATCATCATGCTACATACATTTTCAACTAAATAAAAAGCTAAATTTATGTATAAAATAATAGCTGCATTTATTATAGAAATTATTTTAAACATACATTACCACATGCATTCTTAAGTGTAATTGCTACTGATAAAATACATTAATTTTATCTGAGTTTTTTGTTTGAAATGCAAAGAAAAAGGGAAAGGGATTTTACTGCTTTCTCTAAAAGTTAACTTCTAATTAAAAAAAAATCGCAAAATAGAGAAATTCGCAAAATGGAAGTTCGTTAAATAGAAGTCCGTCTGTATTTAAATTAGCCATTACGAATATAATTTCTAATAAAAACAATCGCAAAATAGAGAAGTTCGTTAAATAGAAGTCTGACTGTATTTAAATTAGCCATTACGAATATAATTTCTAATAAAAAAAATCGCTAAATCGAAGTCCGACTGTATTTAAATTAGCCATTACGAATAATAGCTAATTTATCACTTCGGCCACACCTTCAAATGCAAATGTATTCTCATGAAACATTGATTTTATTTCAATGGAAGGAAATTTATTTTCTGTAATTTTCACTGTTCTTTATTTTTAAAAATGAATGAGCATTGGACATTTAACAAAATTGCAAGTATTTAATAATTTCGTAGTGTTTCGTAAATACATTTTTGCTATTGACAAAGGCATAAAAAATTTTAGGCTAAGGAACGAATTTGTTAAAAATGATTTAGAATGACAAACTGGCTTGTGTAAACATGAATGAATATTTCTTTATAATTCCTCATGTTTAAACCCCCCCCCCCTTTTTTTTTTGTTCAANTGCATTCTTAAGTGTAATTCCTACTGATAAAATACATTAATTTTATCTGAGTTTTTTGTTTGAAATGCAAACAAAAAGGGAAAGGGATTTTACTGCTTTCTCTAAAAGTTAATTTGTAATAAAAAAATCGCAAAATAGAGAAATTTGCAAAATGGAAGTTCGTTAAATAGAAGTCCGACTGTATTTAAATTAGCCATTACGGATAATAGCTAATTTATCCCTTTGGCCACACCTTCAAATGCATATATACTCTCATGAAACATTGATTTTATTTCAATGGAAGGAAATTTATTTTCTATGTAATTTTCACTGTTCTTTATTTTTAAAAATGAAAGAGCATTGGACATTTAACAAAAGTGCAAGTATTTAATAATTTCATAGTGTTTCGTAAATAAATTTTTGCTGTTGACAAAGGCATAAAAAATTGTAGGCTAAAGGGATGAATTTGTTAAAAATGATTTAGAATGACAAACTGGCTTGTGTAAACATGAATGAATATTTCTTTATAATTCCTCATGTTTAAAAATCCCCCCTTTTTTTTTTGTTCAAAACCATTTTGAACAACAAAAAAAAATTTGAGTTGATAAATTTGACCATTTTGAATTTGTAAATTAAGTTCTTCTGCAATGTTAGTCTCCTATAAGTAGTGACTACAAAACATAAAAAGTAACTTGTATTTACAAGTTGTAAAAAAGTTGTTGTAGTCATAGTTTGTTATAAAATAGTTCTAGTTAACTACAAAAATAATGTAATTTTTCTGACCCTAGTATTGGTCTTTGGTATTGAATGATTGGTGTTTGATAATAGTATGGGGGATGTTATGGTAATAGATACCTAATATACTAACATAATTTCTTATTTGTGGTAATAAATGTTTTATGACCTCCCAAAATGGATCCAAAATTTATTTAATTTCAACATCTGATTGTGTATTTCCAACCCTTCTTAAAAATTTAAAAGTTTAAAATTAAAATATTTTTATTGATCAAAACAAATTATTCTGTATCAAAATCATGCTATATTAATTTATATTATATCAAATTTAAATTGAGGATTCTGTTTGAATTATTTTAAAACTATTTTTTAGCTGTAGAGAAAGCAACTCTCTATCTTGAGAAGGAAGAACTACCCCCACATTGGGATAAAGTATTGTTTATTGGTTTGGAAGATGATGAGAGTAATGAATTTGAAAGTGATGTAAGTCATAATAAGTTTTCTATTTTTTCCCTCTAACTTATTTTAAATAGCTTTCATTAAGTTAAAATTTTTACAAAAATAGAAACATTGAATAATATGGGGATATTTTAGACTAATCCTGTAAACAACATTATCATTTAAAAAATAATAAATATATATATATATAATAATTTTAAAAGAATGGAAAATTAATCATAAATAAATAGAATTGATAATAGTTCTAAGAAACTAATAGATAATTTATAAATATAGTATGTTAATATTTATAAATGTTTCAATTTTATTGTACATAACTTTGTAAATATGCAATTTCTATTTAAAGTGCTTCTTCATTTGCTGCTTTGCATTATTGACAATGTCTACAGTCAGAAATAATTTTTTAGAAAAATCTACCCTTCCCTCTGCTTCTCTGCTTAATTTTATAGGAATATAGTACAATATTTTCTCCTTCTTAATATTTTTTGGTCCCACAGTGGACTGATTGTAAAGACACAGTTCCCAGTAGAACACCGAAGTCAAGCGTCCCTGGCTGTGGTCAGAAAGTGGGTGGATGACCACTTTGATCAGACTAAGTGGGGATCGAGGGTGTGCTGTATCGGTCCTTGTTAAACTGTTCGACCAAAAATTGCTCTACTTCATTCGCAGTTTGTTGGGCTACGAAAGCGGAGGAACCATCCCTTCAGCAGAGGATGAAAATTGTGATGGCCTGTCTTCAGGTCATTCTCAGGGATGCTTCCAAAACCGTCGGCAATAGCCCATTGTGCAGCTCTAGTACAACGTAAATAAAATAACTATCTACAAAAATTATTAGCTTTAAAATTATGAACAGCGGGTGAAAAAATATCCTCAGGCGTTGTAAATGCTGACTCTGTTAAATTATTTTATTATTTTCAATCCTGGGTAATATAATCGCAAAGCCTAACAAAATATTTATCCGACATTTTTAAAATTGTACTTTGCATTGAAATTGAATTTTGCATTGAAAACATACTTTGCATTTAAATAGACTTCTGATGATGAACCTAGTGAAGAAAAGGATAGATTTGTTGCTCAGCTCTATAAGTTTATGGATGAAAGAGGTATACTTATTATTATTTTTTTTGTAATTTTATGTTCCATTAAATTTTTTTATCTCATAGTAACAATATGATGTATTATTTGTAGGTACACCTATTAATAAAGCACCCACAGTGAGCAATAGAGATCTGAACTTATATAAACTTTTTAAGATCATGCACAAATTAGGAGGTTACAACAAAGTAAATATACACTATGTCAGCACTATTGCTTATTTTTTTAAGTTGTTTTGCAATTAGATTTAATTGTTCTTTATTTTATAGGTAACAAATAAGAATAAGTGGAAAACTGTATATTCTAAGATGGGCTTGCCACACTCTGTTGCAAATGGTCCTAATCAAGTCAAGTTTGCCTATAAAAGGTTCGCTCTTTCTGGAATTTTCTTTAATGATATTTTTATTTAAAGCAGGCTATGCTTCAAATCACTGTCATTTATTCAAAGGAAGAAAAAATTATTTTAGTATTAAAAATAAGCAAGGATTTTTTTTTTGTTGCTAATTTTAATAATAAAAATGAATTTGGATATTTATATAAAAAATGAAAAAAATGGCAAGTCTTAAAAAAAAACAACCTACCAATTTTGCTTTTGTTTAAATTTTTATTGTTGTTTTTCCAATTCTCATTATAAATAGAACTAATCAAGATAAGTTATAATTTTTTTTTTAAAGATTTCTTTTTTAAAGAATCTATTGTAATTCTTTAAATATATTTTTACTTAAAGTAAGTAATTCAACTCACTTTTATTCAAAAGTGGAATTTGCTTATTTGAATATTATGGAATGAGTTTTGATATTTGTTTTAAAGAAAGAGACTAGTTTAAATAAATAAAAATCAATATATTAATTTTGTTCTTGTCTAAAAAATCTGTACAACAGTATACCACATGCTCAAATAAATGAAATTTATATTTATGATAAATATTTATTTTATGAAAATATTGATAAATCTTATTGGATGGATTTTTGTAAATTTAATCTTTTTGAAAATGTACTTTTTCTAGGCCTCAATTTTTATAAACAAAATATAGGGATTCCGCAAGGTAATTCTTTTTCTGGTGCTTTTGCTAATATTTTTTTTACATTTTTTTGAAGATAAATTTATTGAGTTTAATGATTTTAAAGCTTTTAGATATATTAATTATTTAATTGTGATAATTATGATTTTATTTTTTATATTTATCCTAAAGATTTGGTTTTGAAGAAGACTTATGAAAATTGCTTAAATGTTGAATATTTGGATTTTAAAATTGATATTGTTGATAAGCAGACTAAAATTGGTGTTTATGATAAAAGGAAGGCTTTTAAATTTAAAGCTATTTTTTCTGTAATTTTGATACTAATTTGTGCAGTAAAATTTTCAAAAATTCAGTTTTTTCTCAATTATTTCGAATTAGTAAAATTTGTAATAATGTTGAAAGTCTTTAAGAGGCAACAAGTAATTTTTAAAAAAATATTGGCATTCCTTTTAATTTCTGTTATATTGGTTTTAAAATTAAGAAAATGATTGAGAATTATTAGTTTCGTGTTTTCTTTTAACAGGGCAAGATCCAAGTCTTGATCTAGTTGCCTCGGTCAAGCATTTCTAATAATGATGTCACTATTTTCTGTTTCTTTCTTTCTTTCTCTCTTCCTTCTGCGCAAATTAGGGGGCGTTGTTTTTATGTTTATTTCAATTAAGTTGTGGCTCGCATTCAGTTGTGTAATTTGGTGATTGGATTTTAGTTGCAAGTAAGCTTTTGTGTGTACTAATCTTTGGATTTTAGTTGCAAGTAAGCTTTTGTGTGTACTATTCTTATGTATTTGTCTTGTTTTTATACTTCTGTTTTTGCTTTATGTATTTTATATTTTGTATTGTATTCCTGAACTTTGGCAAAACTTTTGGTGTACAAAGAAAGAAATTTTAGACATTTGTTGTACTCTCTCAATAGAAAAGGTTTTGCTTTTATGACATCTGGAGCTGGTACCCCTTGAAGACGCCAGCTTCCGTTGTCATATTTATTCAATTTTTCATATTTCATTGTTTCTTTTGTTTCAATTCCTTTTGGATTCTCAGCTGCTTAGCGCATTTTTCCACTGGAAGTATTATTTTTAATTGTTTAATTATTTTGAATTGTTTTCTTAATATGTTCTTGTCTAAATTTATTTTTCTTATCTTGGCAATTTCATGAACACAGTTGTTTGCAACTTGCATTTCACAGACGCATCAGATGTACCGACAAACATAACAACTTGCCTCAAATTAACGAGCTAATGTCAGTACCAGCAAAGGTTACGATTAGGTATAATCTTAATAGTTGTGCCTTCTCCACCTGTACCTATTGTTTTGTTGCACATTCGGAGGGTGAAATAAAAATGCACCTCACGTGTGATTAGTATTGCCTGTGAATTCGATAACAAAAGTTTTTACTATAAATTTAGCATTGTGCTTTGAAAAAATCAGTTGTCATTTATATAAGCAGAATTTATTATTAATTGTGTTATAAAAGATCTTAGTGCATTTTTTGTTTAGATTTTAAATTATTTTTCAGATATCTTCAGAGTTTTGAAGATTTTTATCGTAAGTTGGGATGCACCATGGTGAATAATACACGGTCCACTAGAGGGCGCCACAGATCTGATCGCAATATTATTATTACTAGAACAAGAGAAAGGGATGCTGCGTCTCCTAAAAGTAAAGCTAACAAAGAAACAAAGGAAAAGGTAAGTTTGTAATGTGGTATTGCAGTTAATTTGAAATGTCTTTAAATTGAAAGTGTCTCCTATTACCGCGTGTTGGTTTAATAGCTTAAGGAAAAAAATCTAAGATGTTAGAATAAAATAACTAAAGGATCAATTTAGAAAAATCATTATTGTATAAATACTAGAATTACAATATCCTGTAAACGGATAAGTAACATCTTATTAAGACAAATGGCCAAAAAGTATAATGGTTAAAAAAAAAACGTTGATGAAATTAGCTTAAATAAATAAATTACCTGAAAGGAAAATATATAGAATGCTGAAAAGGAATGGATTGGTAAAAGTTAAAAAAAACATGAGACAGATAAAACAAATACTGAAATTTGGAAACTCACCATGTTTATTGCTTACTCAATTATTTAAAAAAATTAAATGTAGATTAAAACATCTCCAAACTATATACAGCCACACAGGCCACAACTTGTAGATTCATTAAAAAGATTTAAAGATTAACACAGATTATCTTCTACAAAAAAGCACTAGTAGCCATTTTTTACTTCTACAACAAGACTGAACACCTCCCTGATGCACTGAACGTACATCAGGGAGCCGAATCCAACATCGAATAGAAATGTTCTTCCACAGGGGAAAAAAGGAATTCCTGCACTCCCACGTTGCCATTACTTCTTCATGAACTCTGGCACTTCGGCAACTCAGCTGACAGGTGTCGCTGCGGGGAAAATTCAGCCTAACCTCGTGACGTCAGTTCTCAAAAGCTGCTCCTCGGGATGTGATCTGCTCCTATAAGATCAGTCCATGCACTTGCGTTTGCTTTCTTATTGCAAAGCAATAATTCTATTATTTCCTTTATGCATTTTATGTCTTTCACTTAAAGACATTTTTAAAATTGTTAAACAATGTTTAACATCTCCCTATTCATTCTATTTGGGTTTCCAGTGATTTTAAATGTTCTTGCTAACTCGAACCTTGATTAAGCAAACTTGAATGGTAAAAAATTCTATTCTTTTTACAAAGATTGGATAAAATAATGGAAACACTTCTGTACCAAAAAATTTTTTGTTCTTTCTCGAAAAACACCTAGAGAATGATTTTATAAATTTAGAATTGTTTAGGTTATGCGATTTTTCATATTTATCAATGAAGTTTAATGGTTTCAGAGACCAGCAATAAATTATGAGCTGTGCACATGCATGGTTTAGATGAACTACTTTAATCATTTATTGCACAGTTTTCAGAGAATTTTTTTCAAATTTTAAATCAAAAATTTCTATTTAATTTTATTGATTATTTCTAAAGTTATAGCAAAAAAAATGTAAAACATAAAAATTAGTTTTTTATAAAAATATATATTTCTCCATAAATAATTTAGCTAGGCTTACCAAAATTTGTGCAATTGTTGTATATAATGACCAAAATAATTGTTATAGGTTAAAAATGTATCGCTAAATGTACTTTCTGACATAGTGTCCAGAAAAACTATGCTCCCGTTTGTAATTTGTCGGTCCCTCAAACCTCCAAAAACTTTAATCTTTATTGATATCTATGAGAAATCACATGATTTAAATACTTCTGAAGTTATAAAATGATTTCCTTAAGCATTTCTTGAGAAATATGAAAAACATATATTAGCATAGATGTTTCCATTATTTTATCCACCCCCTATATATCTCCTATGCACTAATGTTAAAAAGCTATTGAATGTTTTTTTTCCCCCTGCTCTTTTCTTAATTATTGAAATTTCTTCCACAAAAAGAATAAATAAATGAAATGAATAAAAATTGCAGTAACCAAATTTTGAAAAAATAAATGCAATAAAAAAAAATTAAAAAAATCTCTTCCATTTCAAGTTTAAGATATCAATAGAGGTGTTTACCGTTAGGTTCCTTTCCTACTCCCAAAGAAGAGAGCATTCTAACTGCTGAATTTTTTTTCTGGAAGAGCTAATCCACTTGCAATCTTTTCAGTATAGAAAGTCACAAACATATTATATTGAGTTTACATGTGGGGAACATGCTGCCCGATCCAATTGAAGGAAGGATTCGTAGTCAAAAAGATGCATGCACTGAGCAGGATGTTATCATCCATAACAAAGAAATCTTTTTAGATGGTTTCCATAATAGATCTGAGGATGTCATCACCCATTCCTGTACATTAACAGGAACGGGTGATGCAGACTATTTGATGCCCTATCCACATGATTATTCATATGCAGAGGTGCCACAGGTTACAAATTAACCGTAATTGTTACTCTTTCATAGTCAATATTATGATTGAGTAGTGAAAATTACAGTTTTTGAGAATTTTCATAAAAATCTGTTTAAGTTTTCCTCCTTAACTACCAAGAATTATAAATTTTCGTTGTTTGCAACTATTCTTTCATAATTTTTTCTACTCTTTACCCACTTCTGAAAACAATAAATGAGAAAAAATATTTGAAAGAAACAAGAAATTTAAAAAAAATCGAATAAATCTTATCTTTCCCCATTCTAACTATTTATTCCAAAATTTAGTATTTTGTCCTTTTAAAAAAAAACAAAAGAACGTAAACTCAAGTCTGAAATACAGGATGATAAAAAAGCAATAAGAGCTTGTTCGAATTTAACCAGAAACTAGATTATTCCAAGTAATGAATATACAGTACCGCTCAAAAGTATCAGTACACCTAGAAACTTATGAAAAAATGGCAAAATTCAAAGTTTCATAACTTCTTTAAAAATGATCAAAAATGCTTCTGCTTTAGCTCATTTTGAAACTTAAAATCTCTACTTTTATGTACTCTAAATGTTTTTAATTAATATATTTTGCAACTATGTACAATTACACTCTAAACCAGTGATTCTCAACCTTTTTTTTGTTGCGGCACACCTTTAACGATTTCGAAATTTGACGACACACAATGAAAAAAATTGGATTAAAAGTTGTTTAATGACCTATTTTACTCTGTGTTAAATAGTTTGTGGTAATAATTTTGAATGTGAAATAAAATAATATGTACTGCGAAAGCACATTTATTAAGGGATTAATTATTTCTTTCGACCAATTTTTTATTAGTTAGTAACAGTTATTTATTTTTTTGCTAGTTATTAATTGTTAGCTTGTTTTCTATAATTATTAACTGTTACTTTTTTGCGATTTCTTGTTAACTAGTTTTTTTTCTAATTGCTAATTGTTAGCATAATTTTTGTTAGTTATCCTTTGTTAATTTGTTTTTATATATTTGTTCTTTTAGTTATCCTTTGTTAATTTGTTTATTAATTGCATAGCTTACTCTAATGATTAGCTCTTACAACATTTTTTAAAATTGTATGTCATATACAATTTAAGCACTTCCATCTTATTTTAAGATTGTCAGAGACAATGCAATCGCCGACAAAGATTTTCACGCTGTTAAAGTGTGGAAAAATTATAAAAAGTATATCTACACACACACACTTTTCTTTAATTTAAACTTTACTCATAATAAAAAAAAGCGTTATAATTTTTATTACATTATTTCTAATATTTGGCGGCACATTTGAAGAATTTGGCGGCACATTTGAAGAATTTGGCGGCACACAAAAGTGCCGCGGCACAGTGGTTGAGAATCACTGCTCTAAACAATCATAGAAAATTGTATTAATTTTTTGTGAAGTTTGACGCGATGTACGGGCACAAAGGGGTTAGATATTGTTAATTTTTATTATACCATTGAAAAATGTGGACTTTTAGCTTTCATTTGAAAAAAAAAATTCCAAAAAAACATGTTTTTTGACGAAGTTATTGTCAAATAAAAAAAAAGTTTTTTTTTCAGAATTTAATGATTTTTCAGCAATTATAATGAATTTTAGTGTAATTATAATATGATATGAAATTTTTTTAATTAAAATAAATTCAAATTTAATATTTCTCGATAATATTATTTCATAATTTATTATAAGAATTTTAACTTTTTTTTTGGAAAATATAATAATGAAATAAGAATCAACGTTTACAATTTAGTATTATGAAATTTATTTTTTCATATTTTTCTCAGAAAATATTTGAAAACAAAAATTTATGTCGTTCAGAAAAATCATTGCATTTACCTCAATTATAATACCTTGAAGTGCTTAAGAGCAAAAACACTTACTGATTTATTGTATTTTTTTTATTTCTTTTTCCCCTCTATTGGTGGAGAATTACGAAAATACCTATTTTTGTTTTGTATTTTATGTTGAGCCGGCTAATATTTGAGTTTATATTTATCAATGATTGTGAAAAGAATTTTTTTAGAGAGCTCACATGTTTCAGTAACTTATAAAGTTGTCAGAAAAAAACCACACACAAAAAAAAAAATCTAGATTTTGTACATTTTTGATGAAAAGGGATGATAGAAATAATGAAATAATACCTTAATAATTTAAAAAATCCAATTATCCAAATTATATTTAGTAGGAATTGTTTTGGATATTCAAAGCTTAAATGTATTAAAATAAGAAAAAGAAAAAAATATTTTTTTAGATATTTATATATTACTTTTTCTGAAAAGATTAAGATTGTGTAATTGGTTTTTATCCTATCAAGATTTATGTCTCGAAAAGACTCAAACTCATTCATAAAAATGTGAAACTGATGATTATCTTTAAAAGAAAAAAAATCATGGATCTCAAATCTTTTTAGAGTTGTCAAAGTTTGAATGGCTAGACATCAAGTTGTTTATTTATTTGTTAGGGAAATCAATTAAGCTGAAGACCTCAGTTATAAACATGTGTTATAATTTTCCAAAAGTTAAGTCTGGTGTGGAATACATGTTTTTGGAAGGTTTTATGAACTGAGTAAATATTTTTAACAATTTTAATCTAGTCTTATATTTGTTCCTTTATTTGCCCGTTTTTAAATTTTTTTTAATGACTGTTCTCAAATATGTTTCACTCTAATCAATCTAATTTTTTTCGAAGCAAAATGGGTAATTGAATTCCTAATTTTAAAAAGTTTACTTTATGGGATTTATTTCTCAGTGTTATGTAATTTAAATTGATGTGATTATTATTGGTTTTAGAGCACAGAAAAGAAAGGTGAAGAAAAACCAAAACCAGCTGATAAAAAAGAGAGCAAAATTGAAGAAAACTCCAAATCTGATAAAATTAAAAATTCAGAAAAAAAGAAATTAGATGATGATAAAGGAAAGAAAGAAGAAAAGCGGAAATTAAGTAAAAAAGATGAAGATAGTAAGCCAGAGAAAGCAAGGACGAGGGAAGATGCAAGAAAAGAAAAGAATGATAGCCCCGAAAAGAAAGGTACTCGATCTAGCCTCAAGATTGAAGCTGACAAGAAACCCAAAGAAGAAACCACCAAAGAAAAGAAAATTGTCAAAGAAAAGAAAGATGAAAAGCTGCCTAAAGAGGAAAAACCTAAACCAAAAAAGGAAGAAATTACTAAAGATAAAAAGCTCACGAGAGAGAAGAAAGTCGAAGAAAAAGTGACCAAAGAGAAGAGAGAAAATCCTGTGAGAGAGAAAAGAGAATTAAGTCGAGAAAAGAAGGAGATAAAAGAAATTGAGAAACCAAAAGGAAAGAAGGAAGATTCAAAACCAAACGTGGAGTCTCCAAAACGTAAACTGGAGAGAAGCGTGAAGAAAGATTTAAACAAGTTGAAAGTGGATGATACAGAGTGCAAAGAAGAAGAGAAAAAAGAAGAAAGTGCACCTGTGGTGGAACAACCCTCAAAGAAAACGTTGAATGAAGAGGAAATTGTCACTAAATTGGAAGACATATCTGTTGCTGAAGACAGAAAATCAAAACAGATTGAAGATGAACCTCCAAATAAAGTAATAATTGTTTATTTATTTATTTTTAATGATGAAAAAAGTCTGGAAAAATTTCAACTTAGTTGAAGAAATTTCCTTTTCTATTAAAAAAAGTTCAGATTCATAATTTGTTTATAGAAGAGAGGCGTATTTTCTTTTCTTGTGCAATTTCTTTATTTTTGTCATTTCTATTATTCCAAAAGGATTTTAATGCGTCTTTGTTTTCTGTAAACTGGTGTGGTTTGGAGCTATTTTTTTTCTTGTTGAAAATATAACTTCCTTTTTAATTATATATGTACAAATAAAACAAATTTTTTATTTTATTTTAAAAATACTATTAAAATTGAATCTCTATTTAGGCCATTATCAGTTGTCTTTATTAAAAATTATTTTCTTTACTCAACTGCTAATATTGCAACTATTACCTGCCTCCTAATTACATTGTGGATCTAATGATCAGATTTTCGTGTACTAGGACTCACCCTTACTGGTTCGAAGGGGTGACCTCAAATATGCTAAATTGGTTAGTGCAGATGATATTTTAAGTTACGAATTTAAACACAAATAGCTTCAATTTACTTGCACTGTCTTTGAATAAACATACTTTATTTATTTATTTTTTATTTTTTGCAGCAGATTTGGATTTCTGATCCTCAAAATATAAGGGTTTACCGCGATCTGGAAAATGGGGTTGTAATAGCTTGGTCAGGAAAGCGGTCCAAAATTCAGACCCCTTGATGTTAAATTTAAAATATTAAGAAAAATTGCAATTTTAAACAGGATATTAAATCACCAGGACAGCTCTTAGTAAGAAATCAGTTAAGAATTTTATAAGTAATGCCACATTCAAACATTTAACAGAGGAGTTATGACTTAAGTAAAATTACTGTAGTTGTTTAAAAAATATTTTTAATATTTTTTTTACTTTATTAAATGCAATAATTCCTTTTAATAGTAATTTTTATTCATTAAAGTTTAATTTGTATTTTAGGTAACATGTTTCTGAAGTTTTATTTTTATTGTTTATTATTTTTTTTATTAAAACTCTTGTGGCATGTCCAATTTTTATTGATAACGGAAACTTTGTTATCAATCAAAAAAACACCTGCTTCCAATCATGCTTGTTTTATTTATTTATTTTTGTATCATGTTTTTATTTGCTAGGCGTTGTCAACATTTTGAGGTTTAATTTGTGATCTTGTTCCCTAATATGTAAGCCATTCTGCTTTTTGTAATTTTGTCCAAGATCAAGACTAAGAGAAAGATTTAGATTTTTCCTATGAAAAAGTGATGTTTTTGTATCATACCATACACCTAATGAATAAAATTAAAGGGATTTTACACTTAATATATACCTGTTTCTACCATAGCCGGTCAAATGACTGGACTTTGTTTCTTGATTGAATGTATGAAATATGGATGTTAGGAAAGAGATAAACTGAAAAAAAAAACTGTATTATAATTAAACAAAATTGTATATTGCCAATTTTTATGTATTGCAAACACAAAGAATGAGAATTTTTAATTCATTGCTCAACGCATTTTTTACATATACAGGGTGTTTCCATTATACATTTTCCTCAAACATATTTCTTCTAACTATTATTTTTTCTATAATTCTTCTTATAATTATGAGAATATATAAAAAAATTATAATTCTTATAATTCTTCTTATAATTAATATTATTTCTTCTAAGAAATTGTGCTGTCTTGATTGTTTCCACATTTTTCTGGGTAAAGACTAATAGTTAGTTAGAATTGAAGTAAAGCTATCAAAATAAAATATAAAGCTACTTACCAAAACATTTAGTTTTTGTCAGTTTTTCTTACACAAAAGTGCCAATCTAAAATTTTAGGTACTTTATTGAAATTTGAATTCACAGTTATTCTGATTGAACTAACTTCCTAGCAGTCTTTGCAGAAATGTGCAACTAATTGAATGCAATAGGTTGAGCACGCATTATATAGTAATTTCTGGTTCGATAACCTTATAAAGCAATAAATTGTTCTCCCGATCAAATGACCGGTTGTGGTAGAAATAAGGTATACAACAAGTATTATTCGAAACAAACGAAATACAAAAAAATAAATAATAATTAAATATTAGCTGTGTATAATTGTTAGAAAAAGTCATGAAGTCAAAAGTGCAAAAGTTATTAAACGGTCATTTGACCGGTTATGGTATGTTTTGTGTTGATATTACTCATTAATACACAATGTAAGTTCTGCTTATTACAATATACTGAATTGTTGAGTATTCTCAAAAAATATGCAATGCAAATGTATTTTGTTTATACATTATATTTATATACTATATATTATAAAAAATATACTATATATATATATACTATATATTATAAAAAATATACTATATATATATATATATATATGTATATATATATATATATATATATATGTATGTTCAACATTCTATATTCTACCCCTACAGTCAATATTAGAAAAATTGGATGCAATAACAAGAAATTTGGTAAGTTAATAACTAGTCTTCAAAAAACAACTAAATTTAAAGAAAAATGTGCTTGTATGTATAACAATCAATAATCAATATAGTTTAATAACAATTAAAGCACTTCGAAAAAAATCGGTGATTTTTTGAACAAATTTCGTTAAAATTAAGTTGCAAAAGAGTTTAAACTAGTTACAAAAGTTGATAAGTTGCTTACAGAAAGAATTTTTGAGATTTTGTATTCGTAGAAAGTTTTTTATTTTATCTAAGTCAGGCTTAACAGATAGATTATGTCCAAATTTTGGATTTTCTTCATTTAAAATTACATAGCTTGAAATGACATGAAGAATTTTATACTTAATAATTTTTAAATAATATTAAAAGCTTTAAATTATTTTTAAATATTTAAACAAATTTTATGTGTCGGAGCTCCAAAGAGTTAAAATACACAGAAAATGAAAATAACTTTAATGGGCTCTAACTTTTGACAGCTCTTCTGACTATCGGGACCATAATTTCCTGATTGCGGCTATTCCCTTTATTTTTGGGGGTCAAGTATATTTATTCAGAGCAAGTATACATTATTGTGTCTGATTACACAACTTAAAATATTGTCAGCAGCATAAATTAATTAGATAAAATTCTCTAAACATTAAAACTTATAAAGATCTGATCTCTAGATCATAAGTTATTTAGATATTCTGTTTTTTACTTTGTGTACATTTTGTAGCATAATAATTATGTATTTAATATTCCTATATGTATTTGTAGGGTAAAAAGAAATCAATAAAAGGAGATGAAAAAGAGGACAAAGAATCTCTTTTTGAGTTTTCTGATTCTGATGAGTATGTCTTTATTATTGTGCTTAATTTAAATTTTTATTATGTTTTAAGAGGACAAATGACTTTACTTTAAGAAAAATAATGATGATAATAGCAGGACTGGCATGATTTAAATCAATTGATTTTTAGAAAAAATTAATTGAAGTTTGAAATATTTTTTACGTGATTTAACTTATGAGTATATTCTTAGCGTTTTGATTTTTTTTTCTTTCAAAAAGCCCTCAGATTAGGGTTGCAAATATTCAATCTTCGTTTTCGTGAAGAAGAAAAAAAATTAGTTACCTGTTTATTTCAAATAACAAGCCATGATATATTGTATATATATCCATTTGTAGTTTTATAATTTTGTTTTTTTCTTTCCTAGAAGTTTAACTAATGATTCAGAGAAAGCGTCAGGCAAAGATTTAAAAAAAGAAATTGAAGTAGGAGATCGTGTGAAGGTGAAATATGGACGTGGAAGGATGCAGAAGGTATACGAAGCAAAAGTTTTAAAAACTGAAACTGATGGGTTAGAAAAGCGTTATTATGTTCATTATGCAGGATGGAACATGAGGTAGTGTGCATTATTTTAATTATATCTTTTAACTTCCTTGTATGATTTCCTACTCCTACTAAAATAGAATTAAGAGTTTCTCTATTTTGTTCAAAAGATCTCTTCTACATATTTATTGCATTGAAGATAACAATTTACAACAGTATTATTTAAGTTAAAAATTAAAATGCATTACATTTTTTGCGTATTTAATTGTTTTCATACTTCTTTTAGTTTCATAATATATTTTATTTTTAATAAATAAAATCATTGTAATCAGCTTTGTAAATTAGTCAGCTAATCGTTCTGAAGTAGATGCTGCTTTGCACATATGTTTTATTCAAAAAAAAGTAAAGGAACACAATTATCTAGTGCAATTGGGCAAGTGAACTTTTAAATATATTTATGCCTCTTTGACAAATAGTTATTATTAAATGGTCTTATTAAATTTAAATTGAATATATGACTGTTATCGGGGGAAAAATTCTTCATTAAAAGAGCTTATTTTTCGTAATAGATGTAAAAAATTCAATATGGAGTAGATCTGATCCCAATTACTTCAGATAATCAAGATCCTACTGAAGTGATGCACAACCAAATTTGGGTAACAGGCCTCACTCGCAGAAAAAATACCAAGCGTGTGATTTGATTGCTAAAGAACTTCCGCGAATCAGAAATTTACATTACGACGTAAACCTTCACTGAGTTTTGGGAATTTAAATTTTGTACGCTTATGAATTATTTTCTCTAAATGTTGTTGCAAATCTTTTAGGAGAGGGTTTTGTAGTTACACTATTAATAATTTGCCTCCTTCATCTAATTTTTAAAACCAATTTCAATCGACAATAGAGTTATCTTGCCATAAAATCTCTAAATGGTGAATTAAGGGACCATCCATCCACTCAATTACTTTTGCATATAAATGCAGAGATGATGGTGCTCCGGAAAAGATTTGGATTTCCAGATTTTTCTCTATCTGCGATCTGGAAGTTTTCGGAAATCCAAGGTCCAGAAGTTTCAAGAAATCATAGATCACATTTATGTATGAAAATTCTTGTGTATTTTAATTTAAAATATTAGAACTAGAATTTATATTTGTCATCTTTTTCATTTGTAAATATTTTTTAGACATAAAAGTAAACTTATACATAATTATCAATTTAAATTATGCTGCATATAATTTATTTGGAATTTCATGTTTTGAAAATATCAATGATTTAAATTTTTAAAGACCTTTAATTTTTGAAATGCATCATTAATGATTTTACTCAAGAAATTTTCAGGATTTTTGAGTTGGGCTCATGTAATGTAACCCCTGTTAATGTAAAGTGGGATATTCACTGTGTTTTCATTTCAAGGGTCTGTGGGGCCCGCTGGCCATAAATTGACTTAACTGTGTATTCATTTTTTTTTCCAATGTGAAAATCTGTGATTCCTCTAAAACTCAAGTATATTGTTGGTTTTGTTTGAAGGTATGATGAATGGGTACGAAAGAACTACATTGTTGCCATTGTGAATGGAAACAAAAAGTTTGAAGGAGCTTCAAAGGTAAATTTTAAATTTTTTTCATTTAAAAAAATTTTTTTTATTAGTTTCTGTGAAATTAAACAATGCATCATTTTTGTATTCGCTGCAGAGACAATTTCATTTGCATAATTATTTAGAGGGAAAAGAAAAAACTAAACTAAAATGTTTAACAGTTCTATAACTGAAACATGTTGAGGATATGCAAGTTAGTTGGAAAAAAAAGTATTATGAATATAAATTGAAGTTGCATCAGCAATAGACCCTCAGTTTGCTCTGAGAAAGATAGCTTTGTATAAATTGACGTAATGCTAATGCAGTGAAACCTCCAGAAAAGACCACTTTGGGTAGGCACTGAATTTTTTCCATAGACTTTGTGTTGAAGAAAACCTCTTGGGGAGACCATTAAAACCTCTCCCAGTGACCAGGTAAACCTCTGCACCAACGGTGGAAAAATTCAAATAAGGTGACAGGAAAAATATCAAAACAAAACAAAGAAATAGATTGAAATGCATTCGAAATATTTGTGTGAAGCTCTTATTCAAAAAGCTCTTTTTAACATTACAACTTCATGTTGTAGTCAGAGTGCATTAAAAAGGATGCTATCAATGATTTACTTCTAGAGTTGAAAGTTGAAGTAGAAAGAAAAAAAAATTTCAGAAAAAAAGAAACGCACCTTTTCCCATCTTTTAAACCTAACTTATTTTTCTGATATAAAATTAAATGCAAACTTAAACTAAAACAACTGTTTATTTAAAATAGCTTTATCATTCACGAAAAAGTATTAAAAATAAAATAAAGAAATAGATTGAAATATATTCGAAATATTTGTGTGAGGCTCTTTTTCAAAAGGCTCTTTTTGACATTTCAACTTCATGTTGCAGTCAGAGTGCATTAAAAAGGATGCTATGAATGATTTACTTCTAGAGTTGAGAGTTGAATTAGAAAGAAAAAAAAATTATTTCAGAAAAAAAGAAAGACTCCTTTTCTCATCTTTTAAAGTAAACTTTTTTTTTTGCGATATAAAATTAAATGCAAAAAACTAAAACAGCTGTTTATTTATTGAAAATAGCCCTATCATTCATAATTGGTAAATTTATTTTTGCACATAATTATATCAGTTGGAATAATTTTTATAGGCGCTAAATTTTGCTCATTGCTTTACATGATGCAAACAGAAGTGGCATTTCCACACCAAAAAAAATGACACTAACTAAAATTAAAAGCATCAGTAAAAAATCATGCACCTTCAATAAACAATTTTATTAATGATCATTTTACTGTGGAATGGAGAGGGGTCACTCTAGAGAGGTTTCACTGTATTGTAAATTTATATTTATCTTAAGTGATAAATTATTTCTTAGTTGAAATGTTTTATCAAATACTAATTTATTACATTTTTTATCATTATGTACTATTAAAATGACAATACCCATAATATTTTAATAAAAACAAGTGCAGGCTCATTATGAATTTGTTCCTGTTAATGGGAAAGCTCTGCCATGCAAGGTTCAATTGAAATTTGTAAAAACTTCCCAACACTTAAAATATTTTTAATCCGAAGTTTTTTCTTTTAAAAGTTGGTTCAATTAATATTACATTAAAAGCTCAACGTTCCAGAATGAGTGGGCTTTAGTTCTTAAATTCTAAATGTGCTAAAATTCTGGATACTTGTATGCCAAAATTCTTATTTTTTTAATGGGGGGGGGGGGTNGGGGGGATTCTTTACTTTAATAAAGGCAAAAAAATTAGTGCAATCAAAATTTATAAAAATGTTTGTGATATTGGTAGAAAAAAATCTTAACTCAATTGTCAATTGACTCTTTACTAGTTAACATCTAAATTCTTCATAAGACATATTTCTGTGTTTACTAGGGGAAAATATGTCAAGCCGTTATCAAAACTTAAACAACTAAAAGAAAAAGAAGAAGAAAACGAAATTAAATAATTTTAATGAAAAAGAAAGAAAACTTAAATTGCAAACTGAGAAATATGGGTTTATAAAAATCTCTGCTCATAGAAACTAAAGATGTATAAATAAAATATTTATTAATAACTATTAAAAAAAGCTAAAAATCTTTTTACCATATTATGGTATTTTTTGGCAAAAATGTCAATAATAGAAAGAAAAAAAATATCTCCTAGAAAGCTCTTAAAAATGCAGCTCCATAATAAAATGTTATTAAAAGCAAAAATTATTAGAAAATATGAAGAAAAACAGAAAAAAAAATCTATTAATTCTTAAAACAAAACTTTAAAGCTTGGAATCAAATTTTTTTCATAATTTTGTGATAATAAACTATCGTTTCAATTCGAATTCCATATGATCTGGCTTTTACTGCATTCAAAAAAGATACTAAAACTATTTTCCTGTACTATGATTAGTATTTTTTCATATTCAGTTGATACTTTTTCTCTACTAGAGTAATTTTTTTAGTGAAAATAATTATAGTCAAAACACATTGAATATTAAGAAATTTAAGCAAAAAGTTAGGGATGAGGATTTGTTCAATTTTTACAGCTGTTCAATTGTATCTCATTTAAGCAGTAAACATTAGGTATAGAGTGCTGACTGTTTAGTTATATCTTTATAAAAATAAATAACAACTCTTTTAGTTATATGTTTTTTCTTCTCAGAATTCATTGCCTCCATCAAGTATGAAAAAGCAAGAGCGATCACGTTTGCCAGGCTTAAAATCAGTACGTAAAATCTCAACTAGTAGTTCCAATTCGAACGTATCTCGAACAACACGTTCCGATAAGAAAGAAGATGTGGAAACAAAGACAAAATCCACCAAAGGTAGTGCTGTCGATGCATCTCAGGAGTCGGATAGTGAAAGAGAAGAGGATGAAGACGTCGATGTGCAAATTGATTGTTGTTTCAAGGAGGAGCTTTTTAGTGATGACGAGAAAGAGAAGTTGGATGAAGCCAAGGAGGATAGCATTGCCGAGCTTGATAAAGTTTTGGAGCCTATTATGAAAAGAACTGATTGCTCTTCAAATGATGCTGAAAATTTTGCATCTGAAAACAAACTAAGCCCTGGTGTGAAAATGGAAGAAAATTTAAAGATTGACTCTGAAACAGATACTGAGAAAGGTATGATACATAAACTATTATCCGACTGCATACAAGCAGAAACACCCTTGGTGGAAGATAGAGTTGTTGAGGAGCTTCAATCTCAATCTGCTCCGTCAGTTTTAGTGGATACTGTACCTGATGATAAACCACAGCCATCACCTGAAGAGGATGTTCCACAACCGATGCAAACATCTGAAGTTGCTATAAACAAACAATCTGTTCTCAGCTTTTCAGGTCTCATTCGAAAAACAGAAAGTCCTGCTGTGATGGAGCCTCCTTTGATATTTTCAGAACCTGCAGATACCTCTTCAATATCGGAAATTGAAATGAGTGAACAACAGGTGGCATCCGACATTAAAATACAAAATTCAGAAACTAACGAAGAAACTTCCCTTCTTAGTAGCGGAAAGACAGATTGTTTAGAAACAAATGACTCGGTTGATTCGGTGCACGTGACTGAAACGTCACTTCCTTGCAGTGAGATTGTAAATGATCAAACTGAAGTCTCCTCACCTCAAAATATTTTTGTCCCTTCTTTTAGTCCTCAAAATGTAGACAACAAGTTGAGGTCAGATGACAATATTATTTCTGAAGCTGTAGATGTCAGTAAAATGATACCAGGCATTTTAGAGAGATTGAAGAATGATGTGGTAAATGAATTTGATCAAAAGAATGAACTTCCCTTTGATTTCTTACGAGAGAGCAGCAATAAGTGCATGTCTCGGTCTGATTCATCAAGCTCTTTGCGTATTTGCGAGAGTGATACAAACGATTCTAACAATGATTCAAAAGATGTGGGCTTTAAGCTTTCTCCTACTATTCAGGTATTCAATGCACTTTCCAAATGCAATACTGAAAATGAGCTGGATGCTGCTTCTAAAGTTTTAAGTACTGAAAGTAGTGAGAAAAGCAATGAAGGTGAATCAGTTGTGTTGAGTACAGATGTCAGTGAGAAGTCGACCAGCAATTCAGAGTTGATATCATCTGAGGCTGTAGAAATAGCATCGATTAAAGAGCAAACCCTTAATGTGGAGAACAACGTTACGGAGGGATCTTGCGTTGTTGACAATGAAGATACTAACTCTGATGCTCCAGTTGACAACTCCCTCACAGATTTTCTTCTAACAAAGTCCTGTGATGAAGCAAACTCTCTTCTGAAGGATGAGGTAGCTGAAGATTTGCGAGCTATCAGTAGTGATTCTCTGAGGGAAATCATTGATTCAGCTCCAAGTAATCTGGGTTTCTGCAGTAGTACTTCTCAAGAGCCGAAAGCAGCTGAACAAAACTTTGATTTGTGTCCTTCTAAAGAGGATGATAATATAAAAAACATATCTTTTACCATTAAAAAAGAAGGAAAGAAGAAAAAATTTAGCAAAAAATTTGGAAAGAAGTCAGGTTCTGAATTACTTCTGGACAAAGATTCGAAGATGAATAAGAATAGAGCTAAAAAGAAAATGAGATTTGGTGGATTTTCTTGTGAAAGAATGAAAAGCTTAGACATGAAGTCAAAATCGAAAAAATTGAAGAAAAATAAAAATAAAAAACGATTTAAGCACGAAGATGTATGCGAGACTAAGAAAATGGATGGCGATGACGTTAAAGATATTGATAAAGTAAAAAAGAAAGAGAAAAAGAAGTGTGACAAGAAGTTGTTAAAATGTAGTATGAAAAGTGAAGATGGTAGTGATGTGCTGAAAAAGAAGAAAATTAAAAAGAATCGGGAAAAGCTTTTAGGAAAAGATTTCTGTGAAAAGAAAGCCAAGAAAAAAAGGAAACTACCCCTGGATCACGGTCAAGATACTGATTCCGATAAGGATACGTTACCAAAAATGGAGAAGAAGCGAAAGAAGAAAAAACCTAAAACTAAAGGATGCTCTTCATCTGATGACGACAAATTCTTTAAGGAAGAAACTTTGGATGTGGCATCGTCATCCAGCATCAAACAAGAAGATCCTGACATGTCTTTCCTTCTGTGTGAGGAAAATGTTCCTGCCAGTCCTGTTGATATTGCTAACATTATAGACGATTCATCTGACTCTTCCAGCATGGAAGAGAACAGTTCAGGGTTGCTGAATATCAACAATACGAGCACGGTTATGGACAACACGCCACCAACAACTCCATCGAGCACAGAATCTCTTCTATCCAGTTCTCCTTCCCATGAAAGAGATTCGTTTCCTTATCCAGAGAGTACGCAGTCTGGAAGGGAGTCGTGTGAGGGGGAGGGGGACATTTTCCGTTGCGGATCCAATCGAACTATAAGCAGGGGTAGTGAAGAATATCATGCCGCAACTACACTTGCATTTGATGTCTGCCAATCATCTGTCGCGGAGAAGCTACCTCCTAGTAGTGACCTGCTAAAACAACAACCAAAGTCTGAAAGCATTGATCACCAACTAACAAAGAGGAAAAAGAAAAGTAAAAGATTTCGGAGAATGTCGGAAACGACTAAGTCACCCAAGCACAAACTTTCCTTTTTGCGCACCTCAAAAGGTAAGCATGTTTTCATTACCTACAATTTCACAACTGTGTTTTATATAATGTTTACACATATCCTAATATAATTAAATTCACTAAATCTCAGCTCTTAAAAGTTATAACTTTAAGATGATGTATGAAATTTTATGGATTGTATTTATCCATTTAGAGGATCCTAAAAAATTATTATCACATTACATATATTACCTTTATACCTTAATTAAGCCCCTCTGGCATCAATATGAGTTTAAAAATTTTTTATAGATTTCCAAAATAGATGAAAGCTGATTTTTCTGTTGGTCCGCACACTTTTTTCTCGAAGCTTGGAAGAAGAAAAAAATGTAGAGCCAGTGTTTTCACTACAGCGCGAGAACCTCACATATAATTTTTTCTTTTCTCGCATTAAAAAATGATTACCTCGAGAAATTTGCGCATTCTATAATTCAATTTCAAAATTCCTGAATTTCTCGCATTTTGGAAAAAGCGTCAAATTACGCCATTTAGAATAAAATCCGTTTCACTTTTCTTCCTGGATCTTTCATTATTTTCAACATCTGCCCCGTTATCTAGCTTCCCTATTTACCAGTATTGTTTAGAACCTTTTTGAACAACAGAACACAACCACGGAACCCCTTTCAGAACGCATTTCTCTGTAACCACGTGTTTATCGTAGGTAAGGTTTCTTCATGTAAGACATTCAAATTTTTTATGTGCTAATGTAAGATGGACAAATACCTTGTAAAGGCAAAATCTTCTATGATGCACCAAAAATATTCAATGCTTTAAAAAGTAGAAGACGTTAAAAATGATTAATAAAATAAATGAATGAGTAATAAAAAAATAATAATGATTATAAAAATAATAATTCTTTAATGATAAAATAAATGAGTAATTAAAGAAATGATTTTTTTTTCAGTGGGTTTTTGTGTTTTTTTAGTTTTTAGAAATCTCACTTAATTTTTTGAAATCTCACCCTATTTTTGAGAAATGAGGAGAAATTCTCACCCATTTTTTTTCTATGATGAAAACACTGAGAGCAATCATTCTTTCTACCATTTTATAAAAATCTGATTACCAGTCTTCATTCAGTTAAATATGTTGAAGTTTTTTTTATTGTTTTTAAAAAAGTTTTACTCTATTTAATGTGTATTAAATGTTTAATTTTACAGTTCAATGTTAATACAAAAAGCCGTACAGTAAAAGTTTGTTATGGGTCTTGTTTTACATCGTGTAAAGTGGATGATTTATACAGAGTATCTTAAAAGTTTCAGTATTCTTAAATTTATTATACAAAAAAAAATTGCTAAAATAATTTTTATGTTAATGGTTATATATAGAGCCCGGATTTTGATGACCAAAAAAATCTCAACTAATGCCCTTAAAAAGTGCAAAAAATGCCCTTAAAAATGCAAAAATTGTGCAAAAAATGCCTTAAATAAAGCAAAAATATTGAATTAAAGAAANATTAACCTTATTCTACAATTTCCTGCAGAAGCTTCTTTCAACGTCTACTGATGTTATAGGTGCGTACTTGAAAATGACGGTCTCACTTACTTACAATTCTTCTTCCATTTGAAAAGATTTTGCTTAACCTGTTAATATTCTATAGATTTTCTTCATTGTTTGGAAGCCAGTGTAATAATAAAAATTGATAAAAAATAGTAAAAAATTAACAAAAAAACTTTAAAAAATGCATTAAAATGCAAAATACGCCCCAAAATTTAAAGAAAAATGCTTTATAAATCTAATAAAATGCTCTAAAAGACAAAAAATGTCCAAAAATGCATAAAAATGCAAATGTCATCAAAATCCGGTCCTTAGTTATATATAATAATAATATAGAATAACATTTTAAGCCTATTTTATAAAAATGTTTAAAATATTAAATTTGAAAGTTTTTTTTTTACACACATTTTTATGTTTTAAAATGAATGTTTTCTTCAAATTTTTATTGATTTCAAATCATCATTTTATTTAGGACAAATAATAGGCATCAAATTGCCTATCATATGGTTCTGAGGTCTTTTTTTGGTTCCTCAGTTCTCTCAATATTTCATCTTTTCAAAAGGCCTTTTAAAAAAATTACAATCTGTTTATAAATTCTCATTCAATTTTGTTTTAATTACAATTTAATGTAAATAATAAAATTCAAAAAAAGAGAAAATAATTTAAAATTTTGTAATAGTTTATAATTTAAAATTTTATAATTTGTGCTGGGTATCAGGTAAAATGAAGTTAATTATTTTGCCTCAGTTAGTTGTACTTATCACTAAATTTTACAAAGTAAACTTGGATTTCAGAATGAGATTCTTTTTCAAAAGTTCTAATATTATTTTAATAATAGGCCTTTAATGATAGGCTATAAGTTTTCCTATCTTTTTGATAATATGAAACTCTGAAATCTATTAAATAAACTTAGATTTAAATTGTTAAAATCATGCTTGTTAAAATTAGTATTTTTTAAAAATGAGACATTTTACCATTTTTAAAAATAAAAAAAATTTCGATGATGGGAGTTGTGGTGTTGTATACTTCATTGGTATGATTAAATTTGGTCTTTGAATTGCAGTTGAACACTATTATGAAGAATCGTCAGGTACTTCATTAGCTACTCTATCCAGTTCACCTCCATATGGTTCTCTAAGTTTTTCAAAGTCCTTGCCCTCTAAGATGTCACCTACTTCTGAAGAGATGATTCATGTGCCTCTCCGTAAGTACTCCTTCGCTATATTCTAACACAGTAGTCTCTTTCTTAATATAATCTTTTTAGATAACTTTAACCAATTGATGACAATAGGTAAACTAGGAAATTAAACAAATATTTTTGTTTATGCATGAATTTTCTTTTAAACAATGTTTTTGCATTTCCGCGAAGATTGCAACCAACCATTTGTTGCATCAAAATCTGTTTTGCTCATTTACTTGACTTAATTTTCTACTTTTCATTGCAAAAGCAGTCCATTGATTAGAGCATCACGTTTTCGAAAATTTTTGAACCACCGTCTTAAAAACTTTTTCAACCATCTCATCTTTACTAGCTCTATTTCTTTAGAGCTATTTCTTTTCTAGCTTTATTTTAATTTTTCAAAATTTTGAAGAATAGGGACTGTTTAACTGTATTGCATTGGCACGTTTTTGGTAGTCTGTTGTAATAGATTAAAATGTTGATCTTTATTTTTAATGTTAAATAAGTTTGGCTTTCTATATTATCAAACTCTATGTCATAAAATGGTGACACACTCGGTTCAGAGAAGACTTCCGAGACAAGAAGATCACGTGACATTATGAAAACGAATACTTGGAGTTGAAAGAGAAGGAATTCTTCCGAATACACAATGAATATTTCTTTGGGAGTAAGATGATTTTTGAAAAACTAAATAAATTTAGTGATGTGATAACAATAAATAATTGCAGAAAACAATAATTTTAACATTAAGACAGAGTCATTTTGATATTAATTAGCGACTGATAACATTATCCGCAATCAAGGCAGGACTGCTGAATAAACAAAATATTGAAATTTTTAATTTTTGTTTCGAATATTTTATTATTGTTAAAAAGTTTATACATATTCCAAGGACATTAATTGACCATATTTAATTTAATTGATAACTCTGATCCATTAGTAAAACTTGCAATCAAGTTCAGGCAAGACATTTCATGAGCACAATGACCAGTAAAAAACTTTCTAATAAAGTGGGATTTTTATTTTCCTCAAAACTTTTTTGTACACATTTTTTATAAATATATAGGACTGTTCGGAACTAAATGGGTCAATTTTGGATGATGTTGGTTATACATTCTTGATGTATTCATTACAATGGGCCACCCCTAAATGATGTCACAGTTAGAGGAGAGGAAGGGGGTTCTTAAAATAATGACAGTTAGTGACAAAATCGAGAAAGGGGGGTAGCAAAAAATTTGGTGTGGTCACATTTTTATCAAAATAAAAACCTTTAAAATCAGTAGATTAAGTATTTTTATATAATTAGTTTTAACATTTTTTTCTTTATATTTTTCATTAAAACACTTACAAGTTGAAGCCCAAAAATAAAATTTGGAATATGATTTATATCGTGTATTGATTGTATTGATGCTAATTTATGTTTATGTAAAATAGTGTAATATGTAACAAGGTGATGGGGGATAATGTGAAGTGTGACAAAAAAGTGTAGGGGGTCAAAAATATTGTAAAAAGTGTGATGTCATGTGTAGACAACTCTTAAAGTAATGTCTTCCCAACCTAACAATAAAGGTTTTAGAAGATTACTTGTGATCAATAAAGAAATGAAATATTAGGATCTGAAAATTCTAGGTAAACTAGATCCGATAGGGAAAATTTGAATTTGTCCCTAAATTTTAATCGTTTTATACTAATTTGTAGGGAAATGTGAAAGTAAAAAATGCTAAGCAATATAAGAGAACATTAAAAGATAATAATAGCATCAGCAGCAAATCTATTTGAAATGACTCACTTCTTAAAATGAAACATGCTCATGAGTAATTCTGCCTCATCTTTACTTTGATAAGGATTTTAAATTTAATGACACCTAAATATGTGCATAACTTACTATTGTTATTGTAATGGAGTTCAGAGATCAGATAAGGATATGTATATTATTACATTGCACAGATGGAGAGTTGCATATTTGGTAACTACACTGGGAAAAGACTAGTAAAAAAAACTATCAGAGCTAAAGATTTGCTTGTATTTATAGCCTTTTTGGGCTCAAACTCAACGTCCAATCAGAAAAGTCAAATTGCATGTTATACATTACATAATAAATATATAGCATTTTATTGCTTGAATATGAAGTATTTAACTATTTCATTTAATTAGTTTTTGCAAGTTACAATCAATTTTTTGCCTAAGTCCTAAGAAAATGCCCAACCCTGGAAAGCAGCATATTAAACTTTAGCAGTTAATTAATTAAAAAAAAGCACTCAGTTTCTAAAATTGATTAACCTGAAATACTGTGTTCATGTAACATCAGTGTTATTAATATATTGCATTTAATAAAGTTATACAAATATATAATGTAACCACAAGCTGTTTAACTTCACTGTTAAACAAGAACACAACTAATAGTTGAAACAGTGTAGCTACAGAGCTGGGGAAAGAAACCAAGGAGAATGGGAAGGATGATATGAAGGAAATCCCTTAAAAATTTAATTGAATTACCCAACAAGTCAGATGAAGAGTTTGAGCAATACTTAAGTTAAATATCTTATGTATTGTTTTTTCGTATAATTTTTCTTAAAACAAATGTTTTTTTTTAACTCTTACAGAAAGCGTTTTACTAATATATATTTCAAGTTTTAGAATAAGGCATAACGAAAAAGTTAGTAATATTAAAATTTATTGCCACAGTTGCAAAATTCAAGGAAAGTCAACCTGAAAAGAAAAAAATTTAGAGAATTTTTTCTTTTTTGTTTTAAGTGTTTTTGGTTACCCTGAGAAGAAAATATGACATCAGGTATAAAGTTTGCAGATAGTTAAGGGCTGAACTAGATCAGTAACTTAACTGTTAGATATTAGGCTATCCTAATATTCATGAATGGATTATCACAAAAGCAGTATTGCTTCCCTAAGGTAAGTAACACCTTCTATGTAAACAACAGTCAAAGTTGCCTCGTATGCTTTTGTATTGTCAAAACACCAATTTATGGAAAGGGGTCTGTCTATTATTTTCAATTATTAAATACACTTTATCATGTTCAAAAATAATATTTATGCATTCTCAAAAATATTACAATTCATATTTCTAAATTAACTCTGATTTTTTATAAATGTATTATCTAAATTTTATTATGAATTAAAAAGTGAGAATTTTGAAATAAATAACTTTCTTCTTAAATGGCTTAGAAGATGTTTAATCTGATTCAAATTAGTTTCAAAGGTCAAATACTTCAAATATTATTTACAAAAGAAAAATAATAAAACGTACCTATAGTGAAAGCATTACTCTTTACATGCATCAAAATGTCGTTATCTATGCTAAGGCTGCTATTTCTTGAATTTCTTTCTTACTTTTTTTAATATATTGAGAATCATTTTATTAGCTTGATCAATGTAATGTTTTAATTGTGATAAAAAATATTATTACCTCATTCAGTTTTATATCATAACTAAAAAATAAAAAGTTATGATATGAAACTAGTTGTTTTTAATTCATTTAATTGAGCTATATGAAAATCTCTTTTTTAGGATGTTTCGTTATAATAAGTTATAAGTTAATCAAATTTCTTTCAAACATTTCAGATGAAAAGGATCCTGAGAAGAGAATAGCTCTTTTGCAGAAAAAGATGTCTGAATTGAGGAAGCATTACTTATCTTTAAGAGCCGAAGTGATTGCTATTGATCATAAGCGAAGGAAAGCCAGAAAGAAAATAAGGGAGACAGGTAATACAAATCAGCTGATACAAATCTCTTAGGTAGTTGAATCTCCTTTTAGGCAACAGATATTTGAAGGTGCCTATTTTTTGAATGGTTGGGGGAAAAAAAAACTCAGTTTTAAAGGGCCTTTAACTCTTAGCAAATCTATAGTTTAAACTGTCTTGCAGTAAAGAATTACTTGAGCTTTAGAATAAACAAATGGCTTAAATATTTTTTTTTGAAAAATATATATATTTTAACATTATTAAAATAACAAATTTAGTGTGATTTTTAAACCTACATAAAAATTATTAAAATCAATGAATTATTCTCATTTTTTGCTAATTTTTATCAGTGCAAGCAATGCAGCATCAGAATAATTTTTCATAATTTCAATCACAAATGCTTTAATTTTCACAAAATTATGGCTTTTCTTTGTGTAATGACATTTTGGACTATTTTTATTATTTTGGCCATTTTCATTATGTTTTATTGCTATATTCTTCATGATTAAAAGTTTTTTCTCTGCTTTGCCCTTGGCACTTTTCGTTAGATCTGCAAAATTTCCTTTTGTGCTATTAAGATTTCCACTAAATATCACTCAATTTCCTCTCCTCTCTAGTAACAAATTTTGATTGCATTATTACTCTATGCCTTTCTGTCCACAATGCTCAACATTCATTTCAAATTTATTTCTGACCTATTTAATTATTAAATTATAAAAATTTGTATGCCTTCCTTTTCTCTTAAGAACAGAAACACATTTTGGAAAAAAATCTGCTGATAACGAAAATATATATCCAACCAATTTGTATCTATTGTATCTTAAATTCAAATTTTTCCAGAGTTGACTGTAATCAATTATAAAATAATTGATTGCCAATTACATCTTTTGCAGTAAATTGTTTTTTCATTAATTATTATACAGTTAAAAAAAAGCGTATGCTCTCGTTATAAATTTCTTAGGTTTTCTTTCTCAAAATTGAAAGAGAAAATCGATGCAATGTAAAATACAATCACACCAATTACACAATGCAATCTTAAATAAGTAACACTATTAAGATTATTTTATATTATTAAAGCACAAATATTGTAAAAATATGTTAGAGGAGGGAGACTATTTTGGTAAGTATTTTATGCATGTGGAAACCATTTTGGAGATTATTTTCATGTTTGACTCTACTAAAGCGATTATTTTTAAAGTTTAACCTTAGTGGAAGGCCTGAATCTAGTTTCCCTCATTTTGTACCATTTTTCTTGTTACCATTGGTCCTCCTTTTTGCCATTTGATGCCCTTGTTAATACTTTTGATGGAAAAATATGACGTTAAAAATGCGACTCATTCTCTTTCTATCCATGTTATTGGTGAGTGGTTCTTGCTATGTTTTGTTTGTATTTGAAATAATTTGCAGCCAAAAGATTTTTAAAATTTTTCTAAAACATCTTTTTTACCAACTGTCTAGTGGGATATGATTATATAAAAGTATGCTTTTTCCCTTGAATTAATTATTGTTTTAACATTAAATTATATTATTGCCAGGTTTTAGTTAACTTTTTAAAATAATTTTGTTATTTTAAGATTCTTATGGCGATTTCAGTATCAGTTCTTCCTTTCATGTAAATTTATTTGTTCCGAGTCACCGTCTTCTGTGTGGACTACTTCCTTCAGTTTAACTTAATTTTGTTATTTTTTTTTCCAATTCTTCACATTGTTTCGCTTAGATTAATTTTCAATCCTACTCTTTTTGCATTTGTTGCAAATCTTTAAATTGGCTGACAAGTAAAGCAACATCACTGCAGGGCTCAAAATTGGCAAAAGCCCATTGGTCTGAGTCCACTTAAATTTGATTTGCACTGCCATAAAATAATCATTAGTGGTCTCTGGACGAGCAATCGATGTAATGAGATGGTACGGTATTTTAGTTATTTTTATTTTTTTTTATTTTTAATCTTTTGATCTGTGTCTGTGTTTGGTTTTTGTCATACAATAACATATTTCATCATAATTATAACATTACACATTCTTTGTATTGTAATGTTTCTTTTAAAATATTTTTATTAGCTTTTTGTTTAAAAAAAAATTTAATTGAGACTTACTACAAATGAACCAGTGAAAATTTGTATAAACTAATTATAAACTATTTTAGCGCTTAAATTTTCTTAATTTCTATTTCTGCATTATTGGCATAGTCTAAATTTTCTAATGCAGTAGTTAAAAAAAGAAAAATTCTTCTAATTTTAAAGTGTTTAACAGTCTTGCAGTCGACTGATTGTAAGACAAGAGTTTCAGTAAATCACTGAAGTCAAGCATTGCTGCCAATTATCAGTTAGTGGGTGGGTGACCAGTTTGAATAGCCTGCACAAGTACATCATGGTATTAGTTCTCGTTAAACTGTGTGGCTATAAACGGGAGTACTATAACTTCTGCAGAGAATCAAAATGGTGATGGCATTCTTTTTAGGTCATCCTCGGGAATGTTTGCCAGACCTTCGACAATAGTTCATTGTGCAGTACTAGTGTAAGGTTAATAACGTACTACTTCTACTACTAACTGTTCTTCAAAATGGAATGTAACATAATTTGTGACGTATTACATAAATTTTTATTTTCGAAAATAAGGGTCATTAAAAATACTTAATTTTGGTTCAAGGATTTTAGAAGTCCTTAATTTCCAGTATCACTAGTTTATTTTAATTTTTTAGACTAACCGAAATATTTATAGCAAAAAGTCTGTTTTTCTTTAACCTAGAATGAAACCTTGCGTAGAGGCGAAAAGGGATATGTGCGGGGGGGAGGCTGCTAGCAAGGGGAAACTTGTTCATTAAAATATTCTTTCTTTCCTCTAGAATGAAACCCCATGTAAGGAGTAGTGCATTCTGAAAGAAAAGAATAGTGTTATATCAGTAAATGCAATAATTTTTATTTTTATTTTTTTGTCGAAAAAGTGAATAATTGGCATGGTTACTTGAGGTTACATGTATACATTAATTATGGCAAACAACTATTTTTTAAGGTCGTTAATTTTTTCGAAAAAAACTTTTAAAAGTTCTTGCTTTGATAAAAGTTTTTGCTTTGATAAAAGGCCCTGCAAATAGTTTTTCATACTATAAGAAATTCATTTATAAATTTATTTATGAATCCTCATTTTCAGTTCATTAAATAGCTCTAATTTACGTTCTGTTTTTTTTTCTCCCCCAGTTGGTTCGACTACTGCTCCATCTCCTCATTCGGATGAAGGACAAAGCTGTTCCTAATCCTGACACCAGGAGTTGACTCTTTTTGTACAAATATTTTTAAAAATATACAAATTATTATATTATGTAAATATGTACAATTTTAAAAGTATAAAAAAAGTTTTAGGTACTAGTTATTTTTAAATAACTTGTATATCAATGATGTTATATTTGATATTCATTTTGTCAATATCCTCCTTCTATATTTATCTTCTCATTTTAATTATTATTCTATTGTTAAATTACTTGCATTTTTCATTGTTTAAAATCAATATTGTTACTCTAAAAGTAATATTTTTAAAAATATTCAAGTTGCGTTAGTGTTTGAAAATCAGACATATATATTTTGTCAAAAACATCATATTTTTAAAAACAGTAACAAAAACAACAATTGTCAAAAAACATTAATTTTTATTGTTAATACTACTTATATGTGTATATAGTTATATTTAAAAAGAATTCTCAATCTGTTTCAACTAAACTAAACCATATATATTTTAAACCGAAGCAAAATTTATCTAAAGCAATTCTTCATTATACAAAACTTTTGCAATAAGGGTGATTGTACTTGTAATTATATTTTGAAACAATTCTCCTTGCTATGTTTCTTTTTTAAAGAATGAATGCATTCATGTACATTTATTATGTTTTGTTATTTCATTCCTTTGATTTTCTTTTGANAAAAAAAAAAAAAAAAAAATTAGCATTCTCAATGCTAAAAATGCAACTCTTTCCTAGCATGTCTGAGAATGAAAGTTTGCAAAACTGCTTAAATTAACCCTCTGGTGGTTTTACTCGTGCGCAGATCTTCTTTATTCTAAAGAATGAAGTGTGGGAAACTGTGTTTTATTGAGCAGTCTAAAATTAACACAGAGCTCAAGAGTTTTCAATGTCCTAAACTGGTTTTAGGCAGGGCATTTGGGATTTGCTGCCCCGAAATCTGTCATTCTGAAAATTGTTTCTACGCTTATAACTCTAAAGGTAGTTATTCAATAAAAATAAAATAATAAAATTACTTATTTTACAAATATTTGATATTAGCTCAGAATCCTACAATTCTTGTCGAAAAATTTAAATAATGTATAATTTATGTAGATATATCACATTAACTCAAATAATTGTCTGTAAAATTTTGAGTTCATAATAGTTTTGAATAATTAAAGCTAAAGTGTCTATTTCTTTTAATTTATTTTGAAAACAAGGATTTAGTATTTCTACATGTATAGCATTTTTCACGTAAAACTACTCTATGACATCAAGTTTTGGACAATTAATGAAAAGGAGTAGTACAAGCTACTCTTTTATTTCAAGTGTTTTTAACCATCATTAAACAACAGGAATCCATATTTAGTATTAGTTTTATTAAAATGTTTTCAGTTTTGTGTTATAATTTATTTTTCATTGACATGCAATTCCGTTTACTCCAAAAGTGATTATTTAAAAATACTACTGTATTGCTCCTTTGCAGATATGCTTATCAATGAATTTCTTTTTCTACAACTAGCTTTTACTATCCAAGTTTCATTAGAAACTTTTATAGGAAGTGATGATTTTCTATATGGATGAGTTAACAAAAAAAAATTTTTCCACCAAATCTTATTTTTTTCACAAGTTCATTCATACCCATTTCACACAATATTTTTTAATTTAAAGTAATATATAATGACATATTTTAATATCTGCTAGGGTGCTTGAAAAAGCTTTTAAAAATTGTTTTGATGGATTGTTCAATAAAGGTTACAAAAATAATATATTTATTCAACCCGCCCGTTGTTATTAAAGGGGTGCTCGAAAGTGCATGATGCATTGAATGCAATGTTTTTCTAAAAATTTAAAAGCTTCTCAAAATTTTAACATAAGATGTTCTACAGATATATATAAAAATCATTAACTGAATAATTTTATTAAAAAAAATCTTTCAACTTACTTATTTAGTTAATTTATCTTAAAAGTTTATAACTAAGTTTACATTCAAATGTCTACTTAATGATGAATTTTTATGTTAAGATAGCTAAACTTTCTAAAAATGTCTGAAATTTAGGTTAAAAAATATTTATATGAACAATACCTAGTGTTTTAATTTTTATTGTATGCATTGTTTTCTATGAAATAAAATCTTGATTGCATCATAATTTTTTTAAATAAATTCATTAGTTTACAACTTCAACTTTTTTTACTGACTTGCATATATATATTTAGAGTATAGTGACTAAATATAATATTGTGACTGAATTTGCAAGCATGAAAAACTATTATTTATGTACTTATGCATATTTTCCTTCCTTAAAGTGCACCAACAAAACATGAGTATTTTAACTGGAAAATATTAAGTTCTTGTTTATGTACTGATGCTTTTTTTATATAGATAACATTTTATTTATGACATACAGTTCGTGAGTAGCTACTACGAGCTAAATTGCGTGGGGAAAAGAAAACAGGCTTTATTTCTCCTACTTTGGTTTTCATTGTTTTAATAAGTGATTGTTTTTATTAAACATTTCTGTATTCAATACCGGCAAGTAAACATTTTAAATGTAGTGAATCATGGAATTCAGAGATTCCCAATCAGCTGGTTTAGGAAATACCTAAAAAATTTTAAAAGCACTGCTTCTACTGTAAAAAAAGATCTGCAAGATAATTCAAGTACAGGAGCTACATTATTGTTTATAAAAAGTGCTTTAATGTCTGTTTCATGAATTGATTTATTTATACAAGAAAGAGTTGATTGTATTTGGAACTGCATCAAAATCTGCTAATATCACAATTCTTATTCACAGAATTGGTTTTTGTATTTATCTGATTTAAAAGTTACGATAAAAAGACATAATAAGGGCTAGTTCTAATTTAACCAAAAACTGAAACATTGATTCTAAGTAATTAATTTAATTTTGTTATAAAATTTCAGTGTTGCATAATTTTTAATTATGTACCTTTAAGTGTTATTTAACAAAAAAAACGTGCATAATTTTATTTATATAACCTGTGCAGAATTAAATAGTATATATATATCTTTAAAGTAAATAAGCAAACTGTATATATATTTCTGTGTTCTTGTACTTCTGATAACTAGTTTGCACCTTTGTGTTAAAATACTCATCATCATAGCTAATAACATTAAAGTTAACAGTTAATTAAAATCTTTAGGGCTACATTTTTTTCCTTCAAGTTTCTGAAAATCACAGGGTTAAAGATTCTTGTTAATGAAAAATATCTTTCAGATATAAACATTTTTTTCTGAATAAGGTATTTAAAATAATAAATATTGTTTAATTTATTTTATATATAAAAGTTAAAAAAAAAAAACTTTTAACAATGATTCATAAAAGATTGGGAATCTCTGATTTTAAGTAGTTCATCAGCTGTAAAATTTCATCTGCATTTAATAATAAGAATAGATATTTGCACTAAGATGTTTTTAACAATGTATTGTCATTTTTATATATATTTTTTTTCATCTTTCGAATATTCACTTGTATTTTGCATTTTGCCTAAAAATGGAAACATGAAGTGATGTTTTTAATTCTCATCTCTTTGTACATAAAGCATTGTATAAACATATATGTATTTGCTCTGTAATATGCATTCAGCTAAATAGTTGTGAATTTTATATATAATAAATTATAAAAGTAGTCTTATTTTGTGTATTTGAATGAATCATTGCTTTGATCCAAAGTCAAACCAGAGTTGGACATCCAGTACCAGTTTCGGAGTATTATCCAAAAATGAAATATCATGAGATTGCTTAAGCTTATACCAATTTCAACACCTAATGAAATATAACAGATTTTTATTGAAATAAAAACAAAAAATTAGTTACTTTTATTGTTTTCTACATTTTTTAATTCTTTTTATAAGAAATTATGTAGTTTCTCTTCTAAAAAAAACTTTAAAGGTATCTTACCTCCACTTCTTGAATTTTTGTTTACCCTGTGTTCCCCCCCCCCTAACAAAATTTTTATGATAAGCTATTGCCTCTCGAAAGAATTGGGGAAAAAATCGCCTATTTATATTACATTAAACTCCCTCTCCTAAGGAAATCGCAAACATTTCTTAAGTAAGAAAGTCACAACTGGTTTTTGCTTAAACTTTGACTCATACTGCTGTAATCTAATTTTAGAATTAAATTCAAATGAAAGATGTAACTTTGCATAAAGAAAATTTTCGTTTTAAATCATTTTTTAAAATTTTGAGGATGATATTCAGGAATCTTATGTTTTTTCCTTTTGTATTCAAAACTCTTTGCATCTATAATTCTGTGAAGAAAAATTTTCCAAATTCACTTTTATTTAAAATTTTTCCATGTGTAACTTCTTTAGTTTCAAGTGACATGTTTTGTTTTGCCTTTTAAGAATAAGTGGTTTTTAATATCTTACGTAATCATTGCTCATAACCCTTTCTCATCAAAAATAATGAAATCAAAAGACCAGGCATTACATGAATTTAAATGGTCCTAAATTGCATTTTAAAAATTATTAGATTTCTATGGATTTTTTCTTGAAATTAAAAATAGTTAAATGAATGGTTAGTAATTTTGAGTAAGTAAGTTAATATTATACGGTTTCCCTTTCCATATTTTAAAAATTTTGTTTCATGATTATTTAAACCAGGAATTCCTGTTTTTTTTTCACAATGGTGAAAAACACCATTGAAGAAATAGGTTTCTTCCAATCCAAGCTGAAACTGTTTTCGAAATTTTTTTTAAGCAGTTCGTAATTACAATCTAGTTTAACCTTCCGGGAATGATATAAACTGAAGATGTACGTGGTGAAAATTTAATATTTTACCCTACCTGTTCCAGTTACCCGGTAAAAATCTTTATTTGTTTTTCAGCAGGTTCCAATGACCCTCTAATATTTGGATTTATTACTTAGCCAGTTCCAGGTACCCGGTAGAATTTGAATTTATTATCTGGCTGTGTACTACATGTATGAAAAAGGATATAAAAATTTTATACTTTCTTATCGAACAAATACAGATGAAATCTCTAAAAAAATTTATGGCATGTCTTTATAAATAAAATTATATGTTTTTAATTTTAGATTATTTTACACTACATTTTTAAAAGTTTAAAAAAATATTTGGGATGACTGTTTTGCTATACAATGATTAACAAAAAACTTTGAAATGAAGTGTAAAAATCTGATAATAGAGTGGAATTAATTTTTCATTTGATTCATTGAAAATTTCAATAACATTTAATAATGAAGCTTTTGTTAAATGTAAGACATTTTCAAAATATTTTAATGAAGTGACGGTATAGTAAATGAAAAATGTTTTAACTATTGGGATTCAATTGTCAATCATCTGACTATAAGCGCAATTTCTGTGTAGTAAGATCTACCTGAATACAATCACTTGAAAATTTTAACAGTCGGTAAGAAATTTTATCTAATGTTGAACCGAAGCTTTGTATCGTTTTTATCCCAGTAATTGTGAACATATAAAAGATAAAGGAATTTCTTGACCAAGCAACAAATACGGTACAAACTTGTTTTCTGAAAAAAACTTTTTCTGTGAAACTAATATATATATTTGCGTAACATGGAGTTTATTTCTAGTGAAAATTTAAAGTTATTGATGGTCAATTGTATTCATACATGCTTATTTCCTATATAAACAGAGAACAATTTATACTGAAAATATTTCCAAATGTTTTTACAGTTATATAAAAATAAAAAGTTTTTTTTTAGTGCTTTGAAATAAAAACTACTTTCAAAAAATGTATTTATCCATTTTAGTTAAAGTTGTCGGTTTTTACATGTGCTTTTATTTTACTGGAAAATAAAAGATGATGAAATATGAGTAACTATTTGTAAGAAAATATTTATATTTCATTTGCAAAAGTTGTTCTATTATACTTCTATGAAATGCACAAACCTGATTAAAAATTCTGCACAAGAGTGTAGTATGTGGTTCATTTCTTTCAGTCTGATTATTAAAAAACAGATTGATTTCTAAGTATTTTTATAAATAGTTAAGACGTTACTATAATTCGGTTGTGTCGAACATAAATGAGTATCGCCTTTGTAGTGAATTTCTTTTGCCGATATAAACCACTCAAATTGTAATAGCTCTCTACTTAAACATATCCTTTGACTTGTATCCTTTGATATTAACATCAAAGTTCTCTTTTGAATCAAAAAATTATGAAAAATCATTTAAGTGTCCGGGAAACGACCTCCTGAAATACAGCTATGAATAATAATAATTAGAAAACAAAGGAGGGCAATGGCTATAACCGAAATAGACAATAGTATGCATAAAATCTAGGTTCCACAGAATTCTTTACCCGCCTCTTATCTTGCTTGCGTCATCACTGATTTTAGCGACAATAGTACTAACTATATAGGACAAAATAAAAAAAAAATTAAAAATGTTATAAAAATATTTTTTAACCTTTCTAAATATTTTTAGAAATTTTGACACATATCCTTTGACTTGATATTAACATCAAAGTTCTCTTTTGAATCAAAAAATTATGAAAAATCATTAAAGTGTCCGGGAAACGACCTCCTGAAATACAGCTATCAATAGTAATAATTAGAAAACAAAGGAGAGCAATGGCTATAACCGAAATGGTTAATGGTATTTATAAAATCTGGACTTCACTGAATATTTTTTACGGCCACATATCTTGTTTGCGTCATCATTGATTAGCGACACCATTACTAACTATAATAGACAAAATAAAAATTTAAGAATGTTTTAAAACTATTTTTTTAGCATCTGTATATGTCTTTAGAAATTTTGACATCCTTTTACTTGACATTATTATCACAGTTCTTTTTTGAATCAAAAAATTATAAATAAAATCTTTTGTTCAGTGTTCACGAATTTAGAGGAGTGCAATTATAAAATTCTTTAATTTTTCATTCGTTTTTTTCTTTTTTATTTGTTTCCGATTCATAAATCATTTTTGTTCACTGTTTTGATTGTGTGAATGTAAAAATTCCCGAAATAATTTATGCAACTATAGCATATATTTGTGATGAAATAACTATTTTTAATAATAACTACTAGATAATAAATACTGTGAACGATATAATAACTATTTTTAATAATAAATATTTGAAATGAAATTACAACTTATTTTAATAATAACTATTTTTAATAAATATTTTCAATAAAATAGTAATATTAAAATAATAAAACTGATTTCATAATAATAAAGCTAGCAAAGTTCTGGCAGTTTTCGACACCCCCAGTCAGAGAAAAGTTGGCACGCCACTGACTACGACATAAAAATTTTGAATGAGTTGTAATATTGGAAGATTTTTTATTCCTTTTCACCGTGAACAAGTGCCGGATTAAGTGTACCCTAGGCCATTAAAATTTTTGGGGCCCTCAGATCAAATTTTTTTTCTCTTATATTTTTTATTTATTCAAATATAAAAGTATTTATATATCTTTTCACTTAAGAAAGCATATTTAAAATAAAAATAACTAATAATAAATTAAATTTTACTATATTTCGTTAAATTAGAACTAAAAAATGATCATAACATTTTATAATCATAACATATATATTTGAAATTGATTGTTTTTTTAAAAAAATCATTGTTTTTCTTAATTTATTTTCAAAAAATCCATTTTAAGGGGGGCCCCTAATCATTGGGGGCCCCAGGCCATGACCTAATGGGTAATCCGGCACTACCTTGAACAATAATTCTTTAATCAAAATATAGTTTAACATTGAATAAGTCGATGTCAGGTAGTGTTAGCAGAGAATAATCCAAATCCGTTTTGATATTGTACATTTTAATTTTATTTGTTAAATTAAGAACATCTACTTCAATTACGTCAAAATTATAAACTCTGCCTTGAGTTTGTTGAATGTTTTTCTTCAATTTTTCTACAGTTAAAATTTTTTTTTACAATGAAACAACTAATATTGTTCCTCAAATATCACAAAATGCCAAAATTATAAATTTTTAGCCATCACTCTCAGACATTAATCTTATCACAAAATTTAATTGTGATTTTGTCTCAACCTTTTTATCATATTTGTTTTGAGAAGAGTTATCAGAAACAGTTCCATGGTGAGTTTTTTTATATATTTTTTTATTTTTTTCATTTCATTTCATTGTAATTATATTTAGAATGATCACTATATTGATTGAAACTAACTCTATATGGGTAATTTCTTCCCATATAATGCTGTTGATCACTTTGATATTTATTTTGAAAATTTCTTTTTACCTGTAGTGCTTTACATGCAACGCATTTCTGTTTTGTAGGAGAAAATTGTTTCGGTTTAGTACCTGTCTGTTTATTTAGTCCGATTCTTAGGGATTCAAATTTATCTAGTTTTTTTTTTTTTTTTTTTTTTTTTTTTTTTTTTTTTTTTTTTTTTTTTTTTTNTTTTTTTTTTTTTTTTTTTTTTTGCTTAACTCAAAGAACTATTCGTAGGATCAAGAAAATGTTGTTTAACTTCATTCAGCACTCTAGTTTTAAATTGGTTAGTAGTAATTAATTCTTTCAATTGTTCAATCTTCAGTTCAGCTAACCAAAGCATCAGTGTAGGGTTCAGCCGATTGCAACATGGCCTATAGCTTTTTTTATTCGCCACATTGTTGTAACGAAACCCATTTATTTTTTCACTTTTTAAATGGTTAAAAAAATTTTTTTGAATGGTTGTCTGCTGATGAGTTATAACACTTTTTATTTTCTATATTGATTTATTTTAATGTAGCATTCCTTATATTTAATATTATATGTATTCCGATTTTCATTAACTGCTTATGCGCGTGTTTATTAAAGTTTAATGGCTTTACTTTAAACGTTTAATTTATTATTAAATGATTATTATTAATATGTATAAAATATCAGAAAAATTTTTTAAAAAAAAAAATCTTTTTTTTCAGTATCGAATTTAAAGGGGTAGGAGGTAAAAACTGATGAATGAATTGCTGTTAAAGGGAGTGGTGAGTGAAGCGATCAGGAAAATATTTCTCCATTTATGTAAAATTTGGCATTTGTTATGAATTTTTACTGATCCTATGATTTGCACAATTTATGTTTCACCTGATTGATGCGAACATTTTTTTAATTTTAAACTTTAGAGTACGTTTAATAAAAATATTTTTAACTTTAACACACGTTTTACCTTTTGGCGGAGCACTGAAAATTATTTCGCGAACACAAAATGCTCCGCGAAGCATAGTTTGAGATCCTCTGCTATATGTTATTAAATTTTGCGTGTTTGAGTTCTCGACTCACTATTATGATATTCGAGCATTTTAAAATTTGTCCTCAGTAATAGTTTAAATTAGAGTTTGGAGAGAAAATGACACGGTGGTGAAAAATAATTATTTGAGATGATAAAAAGTCTTTTTTTTAAAAATAAATAAAAATTTATTCCGCATCCATGTCATTCAGAGGTAGCCAATAAATCCCTAAAATTCCCTACTGGAGAAATCTCCCGCGCTTGCGCAAATCGATCGAAAGCAAAGAGAAGAAGCTTCCGTGAATCATAGTGGATGAAAGAGTGAAGGCGGAATGTGATTCTGTCATCTTTTTTCCCATTCACATGATTTGAAGGGACGAGGATGAATCTTCTATCAGCAGTTGTCCCAACACGGCGAGTGTAGGGGTCACCGCTGGCTTCGTGGGGGCAGCTCTTGGGAGCTCTGGTGTCCCTTCGGGCACGGGTCCCCCACCCAGCCTGCCCCTACGTATGCACGGTGCTATTCGAAGATTCAAAGAAATGGGATCGAGTAGCGTTAACTTAGCCCCCGCTGAGGATGGAGATTGTTCGGCGGTGATCACACGACGAAGGAGAACTTCATCGGCTGGGGGCATCGGTGGCCGCCCCAGCGTCGGCTACCGACTAGGGCGCAGAAAAGCTCTTTTCGAAAAAAGAAGAAGAGTGAGTGATTATGCCCTCATTATGGCTATTTTCGGAATCGGAGTGATGGTCGCAGAAACTGAATTTTCAGCTGCCGGCATCTACAGCAAGGTAAGAACTCTTTTTTTTTAATAAAATATTTTCCAACAGAATGAAATGCATATTCGGGCGTTTTATTTCGGGGGGAAAATATGAGCCTATTAACTGACCCATCATTTTATAGTAAAACAGCGATTTCATCGAGGGTAGAAATTAATATGTCACTGGAATCAGACACCATAAGATTTGAATACATTTTCATGTCCCTGTCAGATTTTTTGTTTTTAAAAAGAAAATTTAAATTACAAAACAGTGAAGCATGAAAAGAAGGGAAGGAGAAGAGTTCAGTTGAATAACTGTGTTCATCCAGCGGTTTTCAGACTCTCCAAAACATGAGAATCAAATTCTCTTTTCATCGATCGAGAGAGCACTGAAAATTATTTTATGGTGACACACATAAAATTTTAGTACGGATCACTCTTCATTATGAAAAAAACAAACCCTTAATAATTTATCATAAAAATGGACCTATTACAATATTTTTCATTTTAAGAGAGGGAGCTACAACAAAGTTCTTTTGGAGTTGATGGCGATCTAATTTTTAAACTCTTTGAAATCTTTAGGCTTTCAATCTAAAGCGGGATCTTACTTTTACAACAAGATTCTACAGTAATTTTGAATTCAAAAAAATTAACAAACAGCTGATTTTATTATTTTTCACATAATAATTAAATAAAAAAAGACCCTTTTTTCATAATATTATAAATAAATTCTTCAAACTAAAAACATTTTTTTCCTGAAAAAAATTATACAAGTTACGGCTTGTTTTATTCTGAGCAATATGGCAGTTCTAAGTATAAACTAGTATTCCAATGTTATATAAAAAACACACACTGAAACGAGAAAATAACACTCTCATTTCCCAAATTGAAATCGTCTGCTTAATTTGCTAGTTATTTATTCCAAGTTTTGTTAAAATGAGTTTTTCTCAAATCACATTTTTTTCTTTCATCTCAGATGACTTCGATTAAACCTAGGAAGTCTAAACTTGGTAATTGGCTGCTTAAATTCATATGAGCTCTTTAATAATAGAAAATATTTTATGTGCTTTGGAGTATTTCTATTTGTTATCCAATCGCCATTTTTTATGCCGAAAATGTGTATAGTTTTATTATTTTTCAATAAACTAAAAGACTCCTTCCCCTGCTAGCTCCAGTCACCGACCCCAGTCATTGCTTTGCATTCATCATTGGGCTTTTTCCCCTTATACGCCAATATTATCAAAATCTATAATTATTATAGCTTTATGTTAGAACATTTTCTTAATATGGAAATCATCACGAAATAGACAATTATCTAGATCTGAAAAATAATCCTCTGTATTTTAAAAATAAAAAAAATTGACCTAAGAAATACAGATTGTAGGACTCTATAGGAAGAATTAAACGAGAAGCTATTTTACTCGTTGACGAGAATTCTAACTGTTCAAATAGATGGCTGTTTTTGATTAAAGGTTTAGAGTTACATCTGGCAACACGTCATCTTTCTCTCTCTCTCTTTGATTGATATCTACTCGAGCGCGACCTAGAAGCATTTCGCCGGGGGAAAATAAATTTTCTACATCAATGGATAAATAGCCAATGTTTAAAGCAAAAAAGCTGAATCATGAAAAAGCACTTAAATTTGCAATAAATTTCGAACAAATTGGAGTTTAGAAATACAATGAAATGTGTGAAGTTCACACATAAAAATGACTCTTTCAGCACATCAAATTTTTATTCCGTCATTGCATTTCCGTCGGCTACAGATCGACCCAACGTAGCTGAACATAACCATTTCCAGATGGTTTCCATTCCATTTTCCATAATCATTTCCGGTGCAATCGAACCTCAGAACCCAGTTCGTGTCAGGAAAAGGCAGCCATTATGAAGCCATCACCAGATTACAAAGTGTCTTGTTGCTGCCATATTCTCTATTGCCAAATTACCTAAACCATCCTAAAGGACACGCATTGATCCTTGCCGTTTTTTCACGCAATGCTTCTTGTCTACCAAAACCATGATTAGACACCAGTTTCTATGCGTCAGGTGTAAATGACTTAAGAATGAATAGCCCCTCCTCTTTGTTTATGTTTTCGAAAGGATTTTTTGCACCGGGGTTAAAATACTACTAAAAAAAAAAAGTAGGTTTAGTAGGTTGGCTTCGGTTTCTTTGTTTGTCGAGTTAAAGCCTTTTTTGTGTCAAAAATAAGCAGTGAAGATAAATTTGATTTTTCTAAGATCTCTGCTAATTAATATATGAACGTCTAAAATAAAGAAAAATGAATTTTTTTCCTAAAAAATGATTAAATTTGTTATAAGTCAACTGTATTCAATGAAACGTTAATTATCTGTGCTTAGATTATTTTGGTGTTCTGTGACCCTGAAAGTTAAATCGGTAAATCACGCTTCTTTTTGAGGAGAAAAATCTATGAACACAAATGACACATGCGCTTCATAAACTACTGGAAGTCAGAAGTTTTAATATGTTTATACATCAATCATATTTTGAAGACCAAGGAAAAAAAATATAAAATTTTGCCAATCAGAATATGGTGCGTCGAGGGTTAAAAAGCATAAATGTAATTGGCTGAGGACCAAGTGAACTTACAGAAAATTAATTATGTCAAATTTTAAAAAAAATATCTGAAACAGTGTTTGTTATCTATAAAGATTTGCAGTGGGCTAAAAAAAATCTATGCTTGTCCGAATTCCTGTAAACTTAAAATGTACCGTCGGAGAATTTCGGATGATTTTTAGCATTAGTTTCTTATTTGCAATCAATTGGCTATGCCGTCGACAGACTAATTGTTATTATTCTAAATATTATACAAAAATATTAAGTGATGAATTTAATGAGAAAATTGAGCCATTAAAGGAAATTGTTAGAAAAATAAAAAATTTCTGGGAAAGTTAATTAAGTAATTTTATTTAATAAGACTGTGGATAACATTAATTCGAGTTCATTCAGATAAACCTAAAATTGTACACAACAAATTAATGCCGACAAATGCATTTCATTGATTAATTATTTTTTTCTTTTTTTAATTACTTCAAAAGGCTACTATTAAATTGAAATTTTATAAATTTGAATTGTTTAAAACATAAATATCAGTTGAAATTTGAAGCGACATATTTCTAAATTGAAATTTTTGAGGTCAGAGGAATTCTGTCAGAGGAAAACAGTTTAAAAACCAAATATTTATTACATTAATCAAAGTTCAAAATTAAGAGATAAATATGATATTGTTTCTTATAAAATGTATCATTCATTAATTTTAAATTAGTTTTTAGAGCATTAAAATAATTTAAATTAATGTTTGTAATTATTCATATGTTTTTTTAAACAGATAATTATAAAATGCTCTCAAAAAGAACCTAATTCGATTGGGTTGTGCTACCCATTACACTAGTTTCTTTTTAGGAAATTAATAATAAGCTGATAGTTATTGCAATGGGATGAAGAACATATTATGCGTTTCTTTTATTATCAGTAGCAGTAAAATGTTTTGATTTTTCATAGCTTATACCGAAGTTTCTATCAAAAGAAAATTAAATAATCTTAAATACATTTTATTCTTCGTCTGTATAATTAATTATTTCGTCTCATATGTATCATTAAAATGATTTAAAATTCACATTTCTGGTGTTAGTTGAGTTAAAAGTTTATTACCACTTGCTTTCAATCAATATTTTAAGTTAAGTATGTCAGGGGATAGAGCGTTTGGCTTCCAATGAGGTGAACCGGGTTCGAATGCCAGCGAGGGCTGGTCGATACGAATTCCGCATTCGGCTTGCACCGACCATAGGGCTGATGTGAAATATCCTCAGTGGTAGACAGATCGTGGATTAGAGTTCCCCTGCCTTCAGGCTAACCGTGGGAGGTCTTCGTGGTTTTCCTCTCCATATAACACCTCGAAAAGTCCTCCAGGTAGACAAATTTCTTCCCAATACTTTATCCAAGAGTTCCCTTGTCTTCTGGATTGGGTTCAAAATTACAAGTCTACGAAGTTGAACATAGGTAGCCGTGAACTGAAAATTCGGTAAGCTGTTCAATGATGGTTATAAAATAAAATAAAAATGTGTAAAATCTGCTAAAAGAACAGAAAGATAACCTCTTTGATTACTATGACTCTGAAATAGAGTGACTTCTTAATTTGCTCTTAATTAGACAAACTCGTTAATTCGATAAACAGAGAATACCAGATTTAAAAAAAGTTCAAATTTGATTCAAAAAAGAAAAGTAAAGGAAAAAATTCATAAATCATCAGAACTTCTCTCGATGTCGAATTGGAGATCATAATCACGCCAACACGAGATCTTCAAACATTATAAAATTACTAGTGGGCTGCGGGAGCTACAACAAAGTTCTTTTGGNAAATCATCAGAACTTCTCTCGATGTCGAATTGGAGATCATAATCACGCCAACACGAGATCTTCAAACATTATAAAATTATATTTTAACTATGCAGACAATGGTAAATAAATAGTCTTCTTTGGACATAGCATAGTTTTCTATTTCATGTTTCCCAGTCCGTCGCCGATTGCCCATCGTGCAGCTTTAGTGCGACGTAAATAAAGTACCTATATCTACTTTAGAAATTTTAATATATTTCAAATATTTATTATCGGCATACGCTTCTTGTTGCTCAGAGGGACATTTTAAACGCATCTTATTGGACGAGAAATTCAAATGACGCGTAGATTTCAGAGTCACTACAGAAATTTTCAGAAAAGGTCGCTCGAAAAACTAGTATTCATGAGTCGTCCTCAAATGTCATCGAGTAGTTGATTCACAGGATCTCCCCTATAGACGTGCTGTTTATGAAACTTGCATCCGACGCACTAAAATTGGTGCATACTCACGGTTTAACAATGACAATTCGACGCAGCCTTCATTAAGTGCAGATATTTGCCTGAAATTGGGTATTATTGGCACACTCCACTCTTGACACTGTTGAATTCCCTCACAATTTCCAAAATGGAATGTCCCATGTGCTCCAACTACCATTTTACGTTCGTTAACTCTACTC